AGTGCGTGTGGGTGCTGCCGTGTCTGGTAAAATTCAGAGTAGTTTAAAAGGAACGAAAAGGAAAAGAAACAAGTATCCCCCCCCCCTCAAGAGCTGTCCCCAGGAGGCTGGTGTGCAGACATGGAAAGCAGAGGAATGGTTCCGGGGTGGGGGTGGAGGGAGGGCGGGCAGATTGTTCCGGAATGGGGCTCTGTGACGGCTGAACGGCTCCGGGAATCTGCTAAGAACCACGTCGAGGTGCATGTCGAGGGGGTGAACCTTACAGGTTGTGAATTTGCTCTCGATGGTCCAGGGGTGTCCAACTTCGTGGCATCTCTGGGCCACCCTAGAAGAAGAAGAGTTGTCCTGGGCCGCACATTCAATACATTGTGACACATACTCGCCAAAAAAAAATCTCGTTTTAAGTAAATGTATGGTTTTGTGTAAAAACCGTATGGGCCACATGCACAGCCATCCTGGGTCTCGTGCGGTCCACAGGCCGCGGGTTGGACACCCCGAAACAGGTCTGCAACCTCTCCCCGCCCTCAGAAAGCCCATGCAGCCCCAGCCCCCAGTCTCTCAGGACCAGGTCTCCTCAGGACTCGTGAGCCGTGCTGTGCATTTGGCGAAAATATCCTGTACCCACTGGCATGTCTCTGAGCAAGAATGCAGCCCTGGCTGGTGTGGCTCAGTGGATTGAGCACCAGCCTGTGAACCAAAGGGTCACTGGTTCGATTCCCAGTCAGGGCACATGCCTGGGTTTCAGGTCAGGTCCCCAGTAGGGGGCGTGCAAGAGGCAACCACGCATTGATGTTTCTCTCCTTCTCTTTTTCCCTTCCCCTTTGTCTAAAATAAGTAAATAAAAAAAGTCTTTTTAAAAAAAGGGAGAAGGGAAGAGAGGGAGAGAAACATCGATGTGAGAGAGAGACATCGACTGGTTGCCTCCATACGCACCCCAACTGGTGACTGAACAGGCAACCCAGGTACGTGCCCTGACCAGGGATCGAACATGCAAACTTTTTGGCGCACAGGACAGCACTCCAACCAACCTGAGCCGCACGGCCAGGGCAATTCCCCATTCCCAAAAACCAGTAAAATAATCCAGACACCACCAACAGTAATAAAAATAACTTAGGCCAAGTGACCTAGCCAAGTGGTATTTTTTTGCCCATCAGGTTGCCAGAGATTTCAGGTAAATGCGCGTTGGGTCTTGCTGAGACCGGGAGGAAGTGGGGTTTTCAGGCCTTGTTTGGTGAGATGGTAAACTAGATATGTATTCAAATGCAAAGGTGTTTCTGTTTTCCCTCCCGGCCATTCTGTTTCAGGAAGTTATCCTTAGGGGAGAGTAAAAGGTAGTTTTTCCACATCCACTGAGTTTGTGTCCAGGTCTCGCTGAACCCACTGGGGCGTTGAGGCCCCCCCCCCCGCAGGCAGAGGCCTGATTGGAGCCCTGGGGCGGGGGTGGGGGGGTACGAGAGGCCGGGGAGCCCCTGGAATTATGCGCCAGGCCAGCGAGAAGATCTGAAGTAAAAGAGCCCTGGCCAGGTAGCTCAGTGGGTTGGAGCGTCATCCTCCTACGCCACGGTTGAGGGTCCGGTCCCTGGCTGGGACACAGAAGAATCGACGAGTGAACGCATGACAAAGCGGAACAAGAAATCAATGTTTCTCTCTCTCCCTCTCCTCCTTTCCTCTCTCTTCCTCCTCTCTCGCTAAAATCAGTCAATAAAAATTTTTTTTCTAAATAAAATGAAGGGCCCTTGGGCCAGCTCACTGGCTCTCTCCCCTTCCTCCAGGATGCCTGGAGCTGCCACTGCCTGCCTCTCCCAACGGGCAGTGTTTCGGGGGTGAAGGAGCTTGGGGTGCAGCCTGGGGCCGGGCCGGGCCGGGCTGGCAGGGGGCGGAGGGGCGTTCATCCTGGGGTGTGCTGGAGAGGACAGGCTCCAGGCAGAAGCTGGCCGTCCTTCCGAATCGTGTAGCTTTTGTATCGTAAGTTGTTTCCATTGGTGAACTAACCCTACTGGGAGAAGAGAGTTAAAAACGAACAGGGGAAGTGCGGGGAGAACTCAGGTGTTCCAGTTTCACCGTGATTGATAGGCTTAAGTGACAGGCTGGAGTGAATGCGGGCGGGAAGCCGTCCTTCCAAAATGGTGCAACTCTGGAATAAATAAGTACTCCTTTCCTTTATCGCCAAACCTTTGCCTCTGGAAGTTTGCCCAGCCAGGGCCGGCGGGCACCGGGAATCCCAAGTGCTGCTGGGTAACACTCCCTCCGAGGAGACTCCCAGGAACCAGACCGGCTGGCGGCAGGGAGGGATTCAGAATGGCCTGATGGGTCTATCCCCGAGAGAGGCACTCACCGAACCCCACGGGGCAGCGCTGCTCCGCGCTCCTGCGGGTGCAAGTCCTTCGCGCTGTGCGTTGCCCACAACTACAGAGTCACCAAACACCTGAGGCAAACACCTGACGGGCGAGCCTCGGGGCCCCTGCAGCCCCCCCCCCCACTTCAGCACCTTTTACAGCATTTTCCGGGGGCTGTGAGCTCGCAGACCTGAGGAGGCCGATGGGCAACGCGTCGGGAGGGCGCATCTGGAAACCACGGAAATGTCCGTCAACAGAAAACTGGCGTGTCCCTGCAGCGGCTGTCCCCGCCCATCCCCCACGGCTCCTCCGGCGGGGGGGGGAGGGGGGCGGGGGCTGGGCTCGCCCGCTCGGCATCCTGGGACCCTGCGAGCTTGCGATGGGTGTGTGCCTGTCCCTCCCTGACCCTGTGCTCATAATCTCAGCTACAAGCAGCTGCAAAAAGCACGGTTCTCCCCGACAGGCTGGGAGACCTGAATTGGCCGGAGGCTTGTCCGTGCCCTGACTGGGCATCGAACCCAAGACCTGGGCGCACGGGGTCGAGGCTCCAGCCCACTGAGCGACCCAACCAAGAGAGGTTGTTTTCAGTCCCGTCCCACAGCACTTGCCCCTGGCGCCCGGCCTCCTCCTGGGTTTGCATCGCTGTCATTTCTGGGATTCCAAGGCTCGTCCCCCGGGAATCCCCAGGCTGGAGTTGGGGACCCACGGGACAGGCAGCACACAGCTCGTAATCCTGAATCGCATGGAGGTCGGCGGGGGGCCTGTTCCCGAGTCTTCAGGCTACGTCATAAAGAAAACACCCTCCAAACGTGCGCCCCACGACTCACAGCCTTGTCCCCCCGCCCGAGCACGGCTGCGGGAGGGCTGGGTGCAGACCTCGCTCTGATCGGCCGAGAAGCCGGGGCTTATCATTCTAGGGAGCGAAGGGAAGGTGGTGCTGGGGACAGATTCCGTCTGGAAACACCTCTCTCCCACTCAACTGGGCTGAGGCCTCCCTCCGGGGGCGCTGGGTTCAGAGGCCGCTGTCAGGGCAGAGGCGCGGCCACCAGCCACCCAGAGCACAGAGGAGGCCCTGTCTCTGGGCTGGCAGCCCGGGGCGTGCAGGCCGCCGGTGCGTCTGCCCGCTGGCTCGGCCGGTATTTCGGTGTCCGCCTTCCAGCCGGATCTTGCTCCTGTGACTCAGCCTGACCCGCCTGACCCGCCGGCCCCATCGGCCCTGACGACACTGCCCGGGAGCGGAGGGGGCTGGCGGCCGGGGAAGATGGGGCCGGCGCAGCGGCTGGAGGGAGTCCCCGAGAAATAGGCAGGGAGAGGGAGGTGGCCAGAGCCCGTGGCCCCAAGGCGGCTGGGTGCCGGGGCCTGGGAGGGCCCGGCCTCCTGCCCACCAGGTAACAGCGGCCGTGGCGCTGGCCTGACCCAGGGAGAAAGACAGCCATTGTTCCGTCTCCCTTACCGGGCAGGAGCCGCGGGGCCCCGGGGGCAGACTGGCAATGAGAACATGGCATGATGTCATTTCTCATGAATGCAGGACATGATGGCCGTGATTTTCCAACTTCGAGACTATTTTTACTCTGAAGAGAGAAAAACCGCCCCAGCGGACACGGGGCCCTTTGCTATTTTCAGGGCCGAAGCGTGCGTGGCGGCGCTGTCCTGGACGGGACTTCTTCCCGCCCGACCGGCGTCGGCTCCTCCCCCAGCCAGGGTCCCGCAGCGCTCAGTGACGCTGCCCCGCCGGGTCCCCTCGAAGGCCCGCACCAGCTGGACGGTGTTTCCGGTGAGGACGCCGCAGACACATGCGGCCCCTGCCCTGTGCCGAGTCCAGAAATCCCAAGGCCGTGCCAGTGGGTGACACTGACACGCAGAGGTGCACAAGCACATGTGACCGGCCCCACCTGGGGGATGGGCCCCCTCTGGCGGGCTTTGGGGACCAACAGTCGGAGTCCCTGGGGCTCCTGAGACCCCAGGCAAGGACGCTGGGTCTCTGAGCCTCTTAAACAATTGGAAGCCAAGGTCCGCCTGCTTCCTCCCTCCACCCCGCCCCCCGCAGAGGGCGCCTGCTCCTTCCGGGAGGTGACCCAGCAGAGGGGCGCAGGCAGGGTGGGCGTGCTGGCTGGCCCCCAGGCCTCTGAAGCGGAGGGTGAACTGGCCACCGAGGACACTGAGGAAGCAGACTAGCCCCGGAAGTAGTGGTCTGGGTGCTCCAGTCTGCGGCCGAGGGCCCCCCACCAGGGGCACTGGTGCAGGCCAGGGTTGCTGGAGCCCCCGCCCCACATCCCCCGCAAGGGCAGCCTGGGACCTTGCCGTGCCACGGCCCCAAGGGACCAGGGCCTTCAGCTCCCTCTCAGCAGGCGGCCCTTGCACGCTGGAAGTTTCCCTGCATCCCCCCCACTCCTGCCTGCTGCCCCGAACTGCTCTCCCCTGGGTTGCTCCCCAGGGCCCACCTGGCTGTCGGTGTTTCTGACACTCGGGCCTTCCCTGGTCTTGGACCCTGCACACCAATCACCAGCCTCTCCCAGGTGCCCCAGGTGAGCAGAGCCACTGTCCGAAAGTACGGTCACCTGCTCATCCACCTGTGCAGTGCACGCGTGTCCGCTGAGCACCTACTGCGTGTCCTGCTGCGGAGCAGATGGGTCTGGAGGAGCCGCAGCCCTGTGGAGTTCAGGGGCAGGAGGCAGAAGGACAGGCCGACTGCGTCACTGTCCCCGGAGGGTTCATTTGCAAAGGGACCGAAGGCCTGGTGTGCACAGACACCGCCAGGCGGGGCAGCAGGCCGCCGACCTGCAGCCTGAGGGGACGCGGGGCACCCAGGGAGCCGGGCTCCACCGAGGCACTTCCCCGCGGGCACTCTGGGACTCACTAACCAGGGACTTCGCTCAGCAAAGGAGGGCTCATGAAATGCTTATCAGGATGAACTGTAATAAGGGAACTTGGCCCCGGCTGGTGTGGCTCCGTGGATTGAGCGCCAGCCTGCGAACCAAAGGGTCGCCGGTTCAATTCCCAGTCAGTTGCGGGCCAGGTCCCCAGTAGGGGGCGCACAAGAGGCAACCACACAGTGATGTTTCTCTCCCTCTCTTTCTCCCTCCCTTCCCCTCTCTCTAAAAATAAAGAAATTAAAAAAAAAAAAAGAAAGAAAGAAACGTGGAAGGGTATTCTCATCGTGGAAATGGTCAGTGCATCGTTTGGTGCTAGGAAGGCTGAGGCACTGGGCCGCCCCGCAGGGGTCAAAGGGAAGCGAAGGGAACCGCTGGCGTCCAGCTGCTCTCCCGGGTCTGGAGGTGGTTTGTGTGTTTTCCTGCCGCGTCTCCTGGGCGGCCCGGTGACTGACAGGCTGAGGCCTTGTGGGCGGGGGCGCAGGGACCTGTCCGTGAGGGACTCCCTCCCACTGTCCCTGTGGGGGGTCACTGTGTCTCTTCTCGGGTCTCGGGCCCAGCAGTGGCCCTTCCTTCCTTAGGTACAGGCCGACCTCTCTCGCGCTGTATTTTAAAATTAATTCTGAAATAGTGTCATTTCGTAACATAGTTGAAAACGCTGCTCAGATCCAAGTCTCATTTTCACCCCTGCCCACCCCCCATCTGTATCCCCTCCCCCAGGCCCCGTCGTCTGGGGCGGAATGCAGGAGGTGCTGCAGCAAACCCAAATAGTGCCATTCGCGCCCCGCCCCCTGTTTCACGCAAAAGGCCGCAGGGTGTGCACACAGCCCCCCACGCCTCACGCCCCACGCCCCACGCCGCGGCCTTCCCACTTAGCGCCGTGCTTTCGGGTTGGCCATGAAAAGCGGTTTCTGAGGCTGCAGGAGTAGGTGGGGCGGGAACACAGGGCGAGCTTCTCTCCCGTGGGTCGGCCTTACCGGGAATTCCGGGGCGCGTTCCACCAGACGCGTTCCTCCGGGCCATCAGCTGTGAAGGCAGGAGATCTGAAACGCGGACTTACACTTACAGGTGTGGGGTTCTGCCAGCTCTTGCGCTCCCTTTGAGGGTGTGACGGCCGTGTCCCTCGGAGGCTGGGCGGGCAGGGTTTCCGCTGGCGACGCGGACCTTCTCTGCGGATGGGAACGCGCTGTTTCCCACAGCGCATGCGCTTTCACCCCTTTGCTCCGGGAATCTCAAAGCGCCAGTGGTTCCCAGTGCCCAGGTCAGACGCAGCAGCCCTCACCGTCGCTAGTTTACGCAGGGAAAGGGGGGCACGGGCGTGACGTTGGGGCGCCTTACTGGGCGGTCAGGGGTCACAGGGCGCAAAGGGGTGTTCCTGCCCAGGGCAGCATGTGGTCGCCACGTCCAAGCGGCGTCCTTGCCCCCCGTGACCCCTGAGCGTTGCCTCGCTCCCTGAGGGACCGGCTGTCGCAGGGGCCTGGTGCGGTGACACCTGCGACCACAGAGTTGCTCTCTGTTCCCGTTTTTTGCCAAGAAGATTAGGGACCTTCTCTGCGGCGTGACCTTTACTGGCATTAACCAAGTCTCCTGCCCCAAATGTCCCCACGGGTGCCCCAAATGCGCGCGTGCACCAGGCCCCTCCGAGGTCAGGACGACAGGGGACGGAGTATCACACCCAAACTCTATCTCCTTTTTCCTCCCGTCTGCTTGGAGAGAGGATCCCTCTTTTTCCGAGTTAGTTCCTCTCTCTTTGCTCTCGGCCCCAAACCTCCAGCCCGGCCACTGCCCCCCCCCCGCCCCCCCGCCCCCCCCCCGCAGCACCTCAGTCCCTTTTCTGTCTGCCGGCTCTTTGTTGAGAACTGCGCCGAGCGTCTCCGGGTCACAAGCCAAAACAGCAAAGTGAAACCAGCTCAGCCCAAGCCTTCGCTTTCCCTTCATTCCTTCCCGTCCCCACCTCCAACGTTGCTGACTTTGCACAGGCCAGGTGTCTTTCTTCTCCAGCAAACAGGTTTATTGGGGAGCAACAAAGAATTGCAGTTCTGGACCTGCGGTCTGATGGCGAACCACACCCAAGCCCCGAGGACAAAGGGTATGTTTATTTGGACTGCTTTCTTTAATTGATTTTAGAGAGGGACAGAAACAGAAACAGAAACATCAGTTTGTTGTCACACTTATTTATGCATTCGCCGGTTGACTCAGGTATGTGCCTGGACCGGGGATCCGGGATCGAACCTGCCACCTTAGCCTATGGAGAGGCCGCTCTAACCAATGGGGATACCGGCCGGGGCAGAGCTGTTGTAAACAAGGAGCCCATTGGCGGCAACTGGGAGTTGGAGGTGTCGCGCCTTTTCATTGGCTGAGCTGCACCGGCCTCTCATTTGGTCGAGTGGTTGCTGGGTACGAGAAGATCCTTCGTTTTCTCGCTGGTGTAGCAGAGGCAGAAAAACTGCTCCCTGCTGGGGACGCAGGGGAGTCGCTCCCGGTTGGGGTCCTTGCTGGGGGACAGGAGGGGGCGTGCTCTGCCTGCAGGCCCTGCCAGCTCCAACTTATTTATTTTTACAATATTTTATTTATTTATTTTTACAGAGAGGGAGAGGGAGGGAGGAAGAGAGGAAGAGAAACATTGATCGCTTGCCTCTTGCGCACCCCCAACTGGGGACCTGACCCACAACCCAGGCCTGTGCCCTGATGCGGAATCGAACCCGGGATCTTTTACTTTGCAGGACCATGCCCAACCCACTGAGCCACGCCTGTCAGGGCCCAGCTCTCATTTAAACGGGGGGGGGGGGGGAGGTTTCTGGTCAGGGCCCTTCACTTGTTAACTCTCTTCTCCCACCCACCCCACCCACCTGCCTCTTCCCCTTTGTTACCCTACGTCCGTAAGGCAGCCCCTCCTGGCTACACACCTCAGCACTGTGGAATGGGGTTTCACTTTTTCATTTCCTTTACCCCAGCGACTCCGACGGTGCACGGATCTTCAGCCTTGTCCTTTACCCCTGAAAGGAGTCACCCTTTCCTTTCCTCTGGTCGTCCAATAAAATAATTTGTGTCTCGTAAATAAAGTGCCAGCGATAAGTGCAGCTCCCTCCCCTTCACCGCGCCCTGCCCCTAAGGTCCCCACGTGGTCCCTGGTCCCGGGGTTGTTCCCTTCTCAGCTGCCCCAGCCTGGATCCAAAACTGAAACCCCATCCCGCCATTCACTCCTAGACAAGGCTGGGCCTCAAATGTTGATAGGCGTGCCGGAAGACTGGAGACGTCAGGAAAGGAATGAGAAAGTATGGGAAGGGCACTTGCTGATGTCAGCTCTCTGCTCCTGCGGTGCCTGGACTTCTGGCCCTCCTGCCCACTCAGGCCTCTGCTCCTCCACCCCAGGCCTTGGCTCCTGACCACCTCCTTTGGGAGGAATTGAAATAACGTTGGCAGAGATTCTCTTCCCCAGAGCAAAGTCCGTTACCTTATTACACAGCCTCCATCTCTCCCCTCTAGGCCTTGTAGACAGCCTCAACTTTGGCGAATCAGAAAATATTTTTTCTTCTGAAATAAGAATTAGGTTGCGCCCTGGCTGGTGTAGCTCAGTGGATTGAGCTCGGGCTGCGAACCACAGTGTCGCAGGTTCGATTCCCAGCTAGGGCACATGCCTGGGTTGCAGGCCACGGCCCCCAGCAACCGCACATTGATGTTTCTCTCTCTCTCTTTCTCCCTCCCTTTCCTCTCTAAAAATAAATAAATAAAATCTTAAAAAAAAAAAAAAGAATTAGGTTGCCACTCCTAGAACGTGGAAAAAGTTTACGTTTTAAAAATAGATACCTTTATCTTTTTCCTTTTTTGTTGTCCTGGCCACCTTTGGAAATGTTTTGTCCGTCTGGAATTCTCTGCATCCACACAGGGCCTCCTCGACTGTTCACCCATTATTTTCCAAAACACATGTAAGATTGGCCTCCTGTGGAATGCCTTCCTCCACCCAGGCCCCCTCCAGTACTGGAACCTCAGTCAGTCCTCCTCCCTCGACCCTGAGGTCCCTCTGGGGGAAGGAGTCCCATTGGGACCCCTGCAGGGTGATGGTGCAGGACAGGTGTTCAATACATGTGGGGGGTTTTTTTTAAAGGTTTTATTTACTTATTTTTTAGAGAGGAGAAACATCAATGTGTGGTTGCCTCTCACACGCCCCCTGCTGGGGACCTAGCCAGCAACCCAGGCATGTGCCCTAGTCTGGGAATCGAACCCGCAACCCTTTGATTCACAGACCAGCACTCAAGCACTGAGCCACACCAGCCAGGGCTCAATACATCTTCAATAAATAGATAAATGGAGGTATGCCTGTCATGCTTTGACCTCTGATCCTTCACACCACACCGCTACAAAGTTCTGAAGGGGCTGCGTGCCATTCATGGTTTCCACTTTATAAAAATGATTTCCCTGGTTTTGAAAAGAATATATACATAACAGGAATGTCTTTTATATGTAATGCAGAGGTTCAAACAATCCATGAAACCAGAGAGAAGAAAGTAAGCAGCACAGGGAATCCGTCTCGACGAGGCAAGTGCCACTCCAGCAACGTACCGACCGGGCCCCAGGTGTCCCTGAGGATGAGGCGGAGGGGCAGGACAAGCTTCTTGGATTTAAGGACTGTTTTGCGCAGATTATTTTGGAGGAACTGCAGATGCTGGAGTCACGCTGGTAGCGGAAGTTGCCCCTCGTCGGGGAAATTTACATCCCTAAGGGAAATCTCCCTGGTAGGGGTCCCCCTCTGTGCCGGGAGACGGGGAGGATTCTGAGTCTCAGGAATCTCTTATCAGGGCGAAGGCAGCCCCTGCATTATTTATGTTAGAAACACCCAAACCTGCCAAAATTTTTATGAGTTTATTTGACCCAAAGGGATGACAACGGCCAGGAAGCAAAATAATATCAGGGGATTGAGAAAATGTTCCGGAGAACGGCCTTTCAGTTTTTGTTTTACAGGTGACCTTGGACGGAGGAGGGGCAGCGTGAGGGGTCGGGTAAAAAATAAAAACGGATAGACCCAGAGTTCTTTCCCAGGTCGCATTGGGAGAGTTAAGGATCAACGGTTAACACAGTAACGAGATCACAGTAACAGCGAAGACCTCTGCGGTCCCTGCTCTGGCGGAGTTGGTGCCCTGAGGGGCCCTGGAAAAAAAGGAAGTTGCCCTGGCATTCCACAGGTGAGTTGTCACAGGTGTGGAAAGGACAATAGAGAGGCTCTGTTCGGGCGAAGGCGGAGGGCCTTTGTGAGGGGAGGTACGGGCCTACGGCTGGCCGGCCCGGCTAGCTTCCCTCGGCTGGGAGGTTTCCATTTCAGACGGTCCCACGGGGTTCCTGCCCGCCTCCCAGTGTGTGAGGCCGCTGCGCAGGCCGGCCCTGAGCTGGTCAGGTGTAGTGCCTGGCTCCCTTGTCGTCCACTTGTGCTTTGCTTGTCCTGGTAAGAGAGCTCCCCGCAACCAGCGTGTTTCTTTTGTCTGCGCTGGGAGTTCCCTGTGTTTCCTGGGCGCCTCTGGTGCAGGAGGTGTTCACGCTAATAAACCGGTGCTTGTTCTCCTTCATGGGGAGGGCGACGGGAAGAACTCTGCCCTCCATAGGGTGTGTGTGTGTGTGTGTGTTTCCATATACTTACACACACACATGCATACAGTTTTACAAAGATAGGGTCCCATGATACCCACTATCTCCATAATGTGGCTTGGCTCTATTCAATGTAATAAAAAGAGAAGAAAAGAAACTACATACATCATCACATTCCTGACCTGCGTGACATTTCCTGGTAAGGAGGAGCTGGTTATCAGCAGAACGGTGATCCAGAACCTCTTATCTTGTCCTTTCTTTCTTAGTTCCTGCTGTTAAAAAACAAAACTGCATGGAATACATTTGAAAAAGATCTGATTGGCTTTATTTTAAGCAATTCACGAATCAGGCTGAATCCCATCCAGCAAGCTGAAGGGTGTTTGGAGGGGCCACCCAAAATGGAAAATTTTGATCAAGATTTAATCTGTCGAAGAGTGGAGCCATGAAGGAAAAGAAAAGAGAGGAAAGGGTTATTTTCAGACCAGGGCATCATCTCTTGGGGCAAAGAGTAGAGCAAGGGTTCTATCACGCAGCTGGTCCTCATGAGGGATTACTTCCTCGGGCGTTGGCCAGAAAGTTCTGAGGCAGGAGATAGTCAGGAAGGAAGCTCCAGAGGCCCCCCAGGGCTGAGGTAGAAAACATCTATACATGACAAAGACCCCCTAAGACGGGTTGTTCCTGTTTTCTGGGATAACTGTGAGTCATAGAATGCGCCTGCGTGCTACCCCTGATTCATTATAATATCATTATAATGAAATAACATTGTGGGACTTCCTTCTCCAGTAGCCAATCAAGAAAGTCATGGGAAACCACACATGCGCAGTAGCTTGGAAATCCAACTCCTTGTACCTGCGCAGGAAAAAGCCCACCAAAGACTAGCGAGGGAGCTTCAGCCCTGTAAGAACAGAATCCCCCCCCAGCCCACGTGCCCCTTCTCTGCTCAGAGTTGGCCCGCTCCCGTGTCCTGTGGAGTGTACTATTGCTTAATAAATCTTCCCTCTTTATGCTATAAACTTTGTGTGTTCGGTTCAATTCTTTGTCCTCGATCACTAAGAACCTGGTTACCTGTGCACACCTGTGACAGTTTCAGACTGCTTGATTAAGAGCACGTTCCTGGGAGAGGCTGACGCAGCACCTACTCAGGTCAGGTGTTATGTCTAGGTTTCGTAACAGGGGCGTTGGCACAAGTGAGGCTATTTTGGGCCTGGGGTTTTCTGTCTCACGCAGCATTTATTGTCTTGGGGCAAACTTCTAGAAACGTCATCCTCGGGTCAAAAGTGAATTTCACAGTCTGATAAAAACTGCCGGACGGCTGCCAAGAAAGGACCTTCGCCGGAGCTTCTTGGCCTCGTGGACGGGCGTGGCAGGGTGCGTGCACGTGCCTGCCCTGCTGGTTCTCTGCAGGCTTCACTGGAAAGAAGCGAGGCCTTGTATCAGTTTCCCGGGGGGGCACTGACACAGAAAAGCTCTTATATCCTGAGTCGGTGCCAGGCACCAAGCGAAGCACATCCAGTTACCCTTCCCTCGGGGGAAGGTTAGTCTCCCTGCTCTGTGCTCTTCCACTGCCTGTCCCACAGCTCTCCCCGGGGTCAGTGCCTGGTTTCCCCAGCGACCAGGGAACCTGGGAAAGTCCTTGGCCCAACCTCGGCCTCCCCACCTGTCTATCTTTGTCTCTCTAATCATGGTTCAAAATTTCTGTCCTTTCCAACTGACACACTCACCCTCTCTAGATGGACTTTGATGATCACTACAATTTTAACCGTTGTCGTTCCAGCCCTGGCTGGCATGGCTCAGAGGATTGTGTGCTGGCTTGGAAAACGAAAGGGTGCAGGTCTGACTCCCGGCCTGGGCAGATGCCTGGGTTGGGGGCGTGTGAGAGGCAACCACGTATCTCTCACACATTGATCTTTCTCTCCCTTTCTCCTTCCCTACGCCTGGCTTTGAAAAATAAATAAAATCTTTATTTTTTAAAAAATATTTTCATTTATTTTTAGAAAGAGGGGGAGAGAGGGAGAAAGAGAGGGAGAGAAACCTCCATTGGTTGCCTCTCACTTGTCTCCAGCTGAGGACCTGGCCCACAACCCAGGCACGTGCCCTGACTGGGAATTGAACCGGCCAAGTTTCAGTTTGCAGGCTGGCAGTCAAACCACTGAGCCACACCAGCCAGGGCAAATACAGAAAATCTTTTTTAAAAATTACTAAATCCTTGTGGTTCCGCGTGAAGTGACCGTCCTCTGAAGTAGGCTTTCCAGTAGCACCATCTGGGCTGATGCTAATTTTGGAATAAATCCCTAGTCTTATCTTGAAAGAGCTTGTCTGTGGTTTTGCAAGGAGTTCCTTAAATATCTCCATGTCGTGTTTTCAGGATATTTGCTCCTCTGCTCTCCCAGAATACCGCGTGCGTTCACTGGGCTGGGCCTCGGGTGTGCTGGTTGGTTTTTCCTGTGATACGGTTTACTGCACCCACAGATGTTTTAATAAATGTTTCACTTTTTGGAGGGAGGAAAAAGTTATTTGTGGCTAGCCTACCACTATGTAAAATTCACGTGTCCTGGCTGTCTGCATTTCAAGATTAGCTCACACTTGCTGCAGGGACTTATTGAAAATGCATAATGTCACCTGATAGTACTGTCAACACTGGAAGGGAAATGCAACTGTCAACCTGCCGGCAGATATGGTTACAGGAGACAGTGCCAAACGGTGCATGTATCTGAATGAAATTCCAGTCTCTGCTGAGATGATCTTCGGTTTTATCATGAGATGTCCATACCCACACCAGATACTGTTATTCCTTCCTTTCCACCAGGCATTTATCAAAGCTACTAAAAAAAGACAATTTATTCAGATAAAAAATTTGAAATTCTTTACCTAACTGGTCATCTGCTAAAAACTATAGAAGTCCTAAAACGAGGGTTCAGGAAACATGAGAAATGAATATATACAGTATAAAGCAATCTTTTTTAGGGGTGCAGGGCAGAGGAGGATAAAGAGGAAAAAATAGGACAGCTATAGTAGCATAATCAATAAAATATACTAAAAAAACCTTTAAAAATATAAAGTAATCTTTTTTCAAGTATACTTCCCAGCCTGTGGACACACAGCCTATCAGGTGTACAACGCACTAAGCAACCTTTTGTTCTGAAGTAGGTTGGGCAGCCCCATGGCTCCCTGAGCGTCCCTGCCGCGGGGAGGCTTATTGTCAGCCTTTGTGCTCAGGAGCGTGAAGTGCCCGGGGCTCGGAGGACAGAGGATCAGTTGCTGTCAGCTGAGCAGGTGGCGGCGAGTCGGCGCACTGCGACCCGCCGACCAGGGATCAGCGGGATCCCTGTGTGCAGCGGGAAGGGCACAGGCAGCCCTTCGCTTCCGCGGGGACGGGATTAGGCCGCGCGCAGCGCTCGGTGTCACGTGGGGGCTCGCAGCCGGGACGCGTCCCCTCTGCGCGCGGGACCACCGCGCTGACTTCCTGCGGCCTGGTGACGGCTTCCAGTCCGTCCCCACCACCCCAAGGTCAGGGCGACAGCTTCCAGTGCCACCCCACTTCCATGGGGTTAGGGGTCACGGCTTCCAGGGTGGCCCCCGGACCAGGGATCATTCTTTAGTCCCGCCTCCCCGCGCACGCCCCGCGCGGGTCTCCAATGGGGGGCCCATGCTGACTCGGGAGGCGCGGGGTCTGCGCAGGACACCGAGACTGCGGGCCCTACCCGGCGCGCCCAGGCCCCGGCTTCCCCGCAGTCTCGGGGGCGGGGCCTCGGCCGGAAGCTGAGCCGTGCTGGCGGCACGCCGTCCGGCTCCCGAGAAACTTCGGGAAGGCAGCAGCGGTCCGGGCGCTTGCGCGGCGTCAGGCCGGGCGGAAGTGGGTCCACCACGCCGCCGACGCCTGACGCACTTCCTGTTTGTTGTTGCAGAAAGGAGAAAGGAAAGCGCGAGGAGCCGCTGTCGTCCTCAGCGCCGCCGCGCCAGAGAGGAGGAGACCGGCAGACGCCCGCCGCCCCTTCCCGCCGCCGGCTCCGCGTCTTGGGTGAGGGCAGCGCTGGCGCCCGCGTGTGGGGGGCGGGCGTGGGGCCGGCGGGCCGGGGCTGTGGGGCCGGCGCTGGTGCGGGCCCGGGCCGGAGGGCCGGAGCGCGTTTCGGAGTGCAGCGGGTCGTCCTCCCGCCCGCCCGCCCGCCCCCCAGAGGTCCGGCCCGCGCCGGCGGTTGGGGCCGGCTCGTGCGGGCGGTGGGCCGCTGGTCCGGGCCGCGTCCCGGTCCCGCTGGCGCGTCCCCACAGGAGCGTCCCGGGCCTGCGGCGTGAGAGGCCGGCTCTCCTCCTTCTCCGGGCCCCGTGGACGCCCCCAGAGCAGGGACGAGGTGGGTGCGCCCCGCAGCGCGCCTTGCGGGGTCGGGGCGGCGGGCCGAGGGGCCGCTTCCAGAACCCTCCAGCGGCCCTCAGAAGTTTCTCTGGGAGGAAAACGCCGGACTTCCCCGCGGAAGCTCCGGGTCGCGTCGTTTCCCTCCGGGGTCCGCAGCCGCGGCGGCGGCGGCGGCTGAGGCTCCCGTCAGTTTTGCCCGAGCGCGGCAGGGGCGCCGCCGGAGGTGCGGGCGGCCCACGCCGGCTCGTCTCGGGGGAAGCCCTCGGAGCCGGCGGGGCTGCTGGGCCCGCCCGCCCGCCCGCGGGAGGCGCTGGCCGCCCCTGCCGGGTCCCACGCTCGCCTTTCAGCTGCGGGTTCGGAGCCGGCCGTGGGGGCCGGGATCTGTGGAGGCAGCTGGTTTGGTGGGAAAGTTAAATGGCCCGAGGCGTGTGTGTGGGGGGGCATCGGCTCTCACCACCTGAGTGTGTTTGCCGATTGTCCCTGACGTTTAATCTCCCTTGAGGGCGGCGGTGGCGAAGACCCAGAAAGGGTTTAGGGAATCTTGTGCCTTTTCCCTGCCCGCGTCCGCCGGGCCGCCTCGTCCCTCCCGCCCTGGCTCTTGGTTGGGGAGGGTCAGTGCAAGTTTCCTTGTTTCGCAGGCGAGACGGCTGCCCCCGCGGGGTGGGGCTCGGCGGGCTCGGGGGGAGGTGAGAGCGCGGCGCCGGCCCTCGGCCGCGCGGGGAGGCTGGGGCAGACGGCGAGGAGCTGCGGGGCCGGGCCGGGCGGAGGTGTGGGGGCGCCGCCGCAGGTGAGAGGAGGGACGGGGGTTGGCCGAGTGCGGGCTCGGCTGGCAGTGACGGGCTTCACCTTCCCGTCCGCCGGGGTTGGGAAGGGGCGGCCTGGGCAGGTGCCCCTGGCTGCAGTGGCTGCAGTGGCTGCAGGCCGGCCGGGGCAGGCTGGGCGACCCTGAGCTCGGAGTCAGGGCGAGGGGGTCCCAGCCGACCGCCCGCGGCTGGGCGGCGGCGGCAGCGGGGCTCCTGCCGGAGCAGACTCGTCCTGCTCACGGGCTGGGACCGGGGCCGGAGCAGGAGTGCTCTCTCGGTCTCTCTCGGTGAGAGCGCGGCCGTCCTGGGCAGCACGGCCGGACACGGGGGCCGCACACGCCGCGCTCCGCCGCCTGGGGGTCCGGGCCGGGCCGCGCACCGCCGGCCACCGCTTGAGGGCGAAGCCTGGCGAGTTACTTTGAGTTCAGGTTCGTCGGGAGGCCGGTCTTGGGACCGCGTCACCCTAGTGGGTCCCTGTCCCTTCTCGGGGGCGGAGACTGGCTGGCGGGTGGTCAGCGCGCTCCCCGCTTTCGGACCGTGGCTCTTCTTAGGTCCGCTGGGGGCGGTAAGGCCGTAGAGTCAGCCTTTGTCCGTGCGGGTTGGCACTTGAGCAAGACGACAGAAAACTTTGTTTCTTTTTGTCCTCTCGCATCTTTGTGTGAGGGATTCTGGAGGTGAGTGTGGTGGCGGGTGAAAAGCCCCGTTTGGTTTGCGCGTGTCGGGAGCGCCGCCTGGTGGTGCCGGCGGGGGCTGCAGGCTGCTGCGGGCGCCAGGAGGGTGGGCCCGGGGCCAGGCGGACAGATGCTGGGCTTCTCCTGGAGCGGGTTCGAGAGGACTTCCTCCACCTTGGGGGGGGGCGGGGGGGGCGAGAAGAGCGGCAGAGTGGGAGGTGGAGGCGGTGGAGGCGGTGCAGGCGGTGCAGGCGGTGGGAGACAGTTTCAGGGCCCGGTCGGGGAGCTGACTGGGTAAGTCAGGCCGCCGTACAAATGGTGGTGATTTTATTGTGTGTTGATGGTAAGGTGTTTTTCTAAACTTTACATTTTTAGGGGGATTTAAAAAAGTCACAGCTGACCTCTTTGGTTTCAGATGCTTACCTAAGAAGTAAATTAAAAACAAAACACCTTATTTTTGAGGTGGGGAGATTAATTTCTGGAAAGAAAGAAAAAGAAAGCTGCATTTCTGAGGTTTGCAGTGTATTCCAAAGCAGAGAAGACGCCCCCTTTACAGCCTTGGCCCTTGGAGCATCGCTGTCTTGTCTGGGCGTCCCATGGTCTTCCCTTAAAGTTGTTACCTTCTCCGAGTGAAGGGCCGCGGCGTGGCGTGAGGCGGAGAACCGCTGGTACGCCCAGGTACCCCGGCTGCCGCAGGGTCCCTTTCACCGCCCCCTCCCCCGCCCCAGCCCTTTCCTGCCTGGCAGCCACCTGTTAGTGCTGGACGGGTCTCTGTCTGTTCTGGCTCTTGTGTTTCAGGTCCCCATGTGCGTGGCAGCACACGGGGACCGTCAGCCTGACTAAATTTAGCACGGCGCTGGCGAGGTCCTTCGGTGCCACTCCCGATGGCCGAGTGGGGACTCGCTGCACCTGTGACCGCTGTGCCCGCTCACCTGGGGGCGGACACCTGGGCCACGTCCACACCTGGCCCGCCGGGCTCTCAGGCTCAGCGGCAAGTGCTGTGGTCTTTGGGAGGGTGATTTCCTTGGACAGAATGTGCCGTGGGGCCCTCTGAGGTTCTGGCCCCACCGTGCCCACAGAGGCCCTGAGGGTTTGCATGGTGTCGGTCGGTGGGCGGTGCCGGCAGGGTGAGCTCGGGCCTCTCCCGTGCCCTGTGTGCCTGTGGCCCCGTCCTGAGCCGGACTGGTCGGCTTGGGTCCTCCTTCCTGGCTGGTCTGCGTTCTGGCCTCCCTTCTGCGTTAGTAGTGGGGTCCGGAGTTCAGGAAAGGGGGAGAGACGTGCACACAAACGTGGCTTAGGTTCCCAGGGACCAGAGATCGAGCACTGGCCAGCGTGCCCCGTCTTATTTTGAGGGATGGAATCGGCCCTGGCTGGTGCGGCTCAGTGGATCGATGGCGGGCTGTGAACCAGAGGTCGCCAGCTTGATTCCCAGTTGGGCCACAGGCCTGGGTGGCAGGCCCGGTCTTCAGTGGGGGCGCACGAGAGGCAGTCACTCATTCAGATTCCTCTCCCTCTCTTTCTCCCCCCCTTAACAATAGTAATAATGATAATGATAATAAAGAAGTCAGGTAGGTGCCGGTGGTCTTCATCGGGGTCGCAGAGAGGGCGACGTACCTTGTGTGTTTCAGGAATGCTTTAGGGGGTGTTGTATAGGAACTGAATGTGCAGGTAGATGATGTGGGATACGGAATGATTGCTCAAGTCATTTTTAAAAACTCCTTTATTTAGAGAGAGGGGGAGGGAAGGAGGAAGACTGGAAGGAAACATGCGTGTGCGGGAGGCAGACCCGGCAGCTGCCTCGCGTGCTGCCCTGACTGGGATTGAACGTCCGCCGAGCCCCGCCGGCCGGGGCTGCTCGCGCGCTCCTCCGTGGGTCCTCCCTCCCTGTGAGTCCTCCCTCCTCCGTGGGTCCTCCCTCCTCCGTGGGTCCTCCCTCCCTGTGGGTTCCCCCTCCCCCGTGGTTCCTTCCTCCTCCTTGGGTCCTCCCTCCTCCGTGGGTCCTCCCTCCTCCGTGGGTCCTCCCGCCTCCGTGGGTCCTCCCTCCCTATGGGTTCCCCCTCCTCCGTGGGTCCTCCCTCCCTGTGGGTTCCCCCTCCCTGTGGGTTCTGGGCGGCCACTGGGTGACGGAAGGGCACCTGGGAAGCCGCTGCTGCAGCCGGGTCGCTGCCCCCGCCCCCGCGCGTCCCTGCAGCACTGGCACCAGGCAGCTCGACCCCACCTCGCGGGCGGCCACTGAGCAGGGGCTCATCTTGCTCACACCCACCTCTTCCGGCTTCAGTAGGAGGAGCGTCCAGTGTGCTGCTCCCAAGGTACAGGTGGGGAATGTGTCCGGCGGACTAATGACCTTCCGAATTACGTCACCTGAAGCAGCGTCTGAGGAGTAACTCTCTGGGAGGGTAGCAGCGAGAGGCTTCCGTGAAGCCGGAGCTTGTCCTCGGCCTCGTTTCCAGGGGAGTTTCGTGCATGGAAAGGGTTAGGGAGTGTTTTGTTTGCTGTGCAAGCAGAGTGAGGTTCTTCAGTTCCGGACCGAGAGCTGTGTGCGTGAGGCCTTGCAGGTGGGAAGCCGGTCACTTCCTCCGCCCAGGAGCGCCGTGTGGGGTGACCGAGGTCTGCGGCACAGGGGAGCAGCGGCACAGGGGAGCAGCGGCGTCTGCGCTCCCCGCGGCCCCCCCCGCCCCGGGGTCGGAGGGGTCGAGGGTCAGGTGGACTGGAGGAAGTTTCCTTCCGGACTCGGAGGGGGAGGGGGAGCGGGAGCGGGAGCGTGCAGCACTCCCCCCCGCAGGACGCCCGTGGGGGAGGAGTTGTGAGGCGGTCGGTGTGTCGTCAGGAGAGCGGGGCCCTTTTTGTCGGAGGTGGAGCAGGAGTGATGCAGACTTGACTTGTGCAGAGCGGCACCTGTAGGAGCTCTCCCTGGAGAGGAAACGTGGGGGTGCGAGCACCGACGGCCTCGTGCGCCTGTGCTCACCGGAGATGTGCCAGCCGGTGGGGCCTCGGGCACCAGGGCCTTCTGTTCCGGGGGTCGGGGCGATGGTCCCCTCCGGCTGCGGTGCCAGCACCCGGTGAGGGTGGGGGGGAGCGCCGGCCGGCCGGCCTGTGAGTCGCATCGTCTCTGGACTTGCCCGGCCAGTGCCTGCGTCTTGAAGGGCGTCCGCAGTGCGAGCTGGACGCACAGGCCTTGCGTCCCCTTCCCACCCCGCACTCCGGGTCTTCACGCCCCCGGCTCCTGGTTCCTGTGTGTGTGTCTGCATGTTTTCAGTTTTCACAACCTAGTTTTTTATTTGACATTTACATGTAGGTTGGAGGTGTACACGCGTGATATATTTATATGTTGTAATGTGACTATATTAGTTCAACTAACACTTCAGTCATGTTGCGCAGTTATGTTTTGTGTACTTTTTTAAAAAGATTTTTATTTTTAGACAGAAGGAAAGGGGGGGAGAAAGAGAGGGAAACATCAATGTGTGGTTGCCTCTTCCACGCCCCCTACTGGGGACCAAGCCCATGACCCAGGCCTGTGCCCTGACTGGGAATTGAACCTGCGACCCTTTGGTTCACAGGCTGGTGCTCAGTCCACTGAGCCACACCAGCCGGGGTGGATTGCAGGTGCCTGGCGAAAGCAGGTGTTGCTGACTCTCCGCCCACCAGGGCCCTCCCCGCACTCACTCCACAGGGACGTGGACATGTGGGCTCCTGCACAGGGGGATGCTTTCTGCTGTTAGCTGGGTGAACCATTGCCTGTTAGATCCGTTGGGAATAAGAAAAGCAAGATTTTATTTCCACCCTCTTCCTCCCGCCGCGTCCCTGACGGCTGCGTGTCTGAGCCACGTCGTGTCCCTCCCCTCTGAGGTGCTGCTGGCACGTGCTCGCAGGCCTGCGGCCGGCGGGGGCGGGGGGGGGCACCTCGGGTCAGCGCCCGGCCCCGCACCGAGCACCCCGCCCTCTCGCGCTGGCGTGGACGCCCTGCCCTGCCCTGCCCCCTCGCGGGAGGGTGTTGTTCCTCTGGCTCGTGGGGCGTTTCGTCTTTGATTTTCCTGGAATTTCAACACGCTGTGCCGGGTGCGCTTCTGCTGTCCCACCTGTTGGGTGGTGGGAGTGTCTGAGTCTGACCGTGACCCGGGGCAGCTGTGACTGCCCGCGGGCTGCGAGCACCCCTGCCCCCCTCTCCTCCCTGTGGTGGTCCCGTTGGGGACGATGGCGTCTCGTGGAGTGTCCCGTTCTCGGTCTCCTGTTCCTGTTTGAAAGCCCCGTGAAGCAGTCGCTGGTGTGAGGGAGGGACGAGGGCCTGCTGCCCCCCACCCCCCACCCCGACGCCCCGCTGGTGAGGAGCGCGGCGTCCGCTGCTCTGAGTGGCCGGTGGTGGGGTCTGTCCTGCGGCCGAGTCCTTCCTTGTGTTTTCAGAAGGACTGTTGACGCTGCTACAGTTGTCCCAGCCGTTCCCCGTGTGTCCCTCTCCGCCCAGCCCCCGCCCTGTCCCCACAGGCAGACCCCCCACTGTTGTTCGTGTCCACAGCCCATGTGTGTGCTCTTCCGTCACGTGGGTCGGTGCCTGTCGCCCGGGGTCTGTGGGAGCGTGGAAAACACGCAGCGCTGGACGGGGCAGTCGGGGCGCTGCCCCCTGCCCCCGGGGTCGTCAGATGAAACACGGCGCCGGCCACCACAGCGGTCGTCCGGTCTGGGCACGTCAGAGTCACACACTTCCGGGCGTGCTGCGGGGTGTCGGCGGTCTGTGTGCCGCGGGGTGAGGGAGGCTGGACGTCAGCGGTTTAGGCTGTCACAGGGCTTGCCAGAGCTTACCTTGCTCTCGTCGGAAAGGGTCTTCAGGCAGTGGTCTGGCCGGGCTCCGCCGAGGCTGCGGCCTGGCGAGGGGACCTCACCCGCCACCGTCCCTCCCCACGACGGCCCAGCCTTGCCGTGTGGCCCTGACCGCCGTTTCTGGTTGCAGGACACCCCTAGCAGCCTGTGGAGACATGGTGGACTACTACGAAGTTCTGGGTGTGCAGAGACATGCCTCGGCCGAGGACATTAAAAAGGCGTAAGTAGCCGGCGCGTGCAGGGAGGGGCCTGGTGCGCCGGTGGGCCCCGGGCCGGTCAGCTTGGTCTCCAGCCTCAGCCCGGCCCTGGGGGGGCGGTCCCAGGGCCCCTCGGTCCCTGGCTCTGGGGCAGCGGATTCTGTTTCTGCTGGAGGTTGCCCCCGGGGACGCGGGGCCGTGCTGGAGCCTCGACACGGGGCTTGGAGGCAGAGGCAGCCTGGCAGAGCGCCCTTGGGGGGGCCGCTTGGAACCCTGCTGCCCAGCCCAGGGAGCTGCGTCTCTTTAACTCGTTGGACGGTGGCAGCGCAGCGCAGCAGGCAGACGTCCCAGCGCTGTGGCCTAGCTGGAGGCACCAGCACGGGAGCCTGGGAGGGTGGGAAGCAGGTGTCGGGACCTGCTTTCGATGAGCCCACAAGGGAGTCTGCCGCCAGCCCTGGAGGGTCTGCAGCTGGGAAGGAAGGGCCGTTGAACCAGACAGTTGCCCCGGGAGACCAGACCCAGGGCAGGCTGCGTGCCGTGCCGGGCTCCCCTGAAGCTGCCGGAGACGGTGCCCGTGTCACACCTCGCTCGACCAAGAGGCCGCAGAGGACTGTCGCCAGCTGGCCGGGGGCCTCTTCGCTCTGTCACAGCGGGCGGCTGGGGAGAGCCCGGGGCGGTGGGAAGCCGTGTTCTGCCCTGGCACAGACACCCCGTGCGCACACAGGACGCCCTCGGGGGAGGCCTGCCCGCCCGGGGCCCAGTGCAGAGGGGTGGGGTTTCCTCACCGCTGCTGATAGGCTGGGTTCAGCCTCGTCTGAGGACATTTGTTTTGTTGCTTTTGGAGAGGAAGGGGGAGGGGAGCACCAGTTGACTGCCTCCCATACACACGTGAACTGGGGATCGGACCTGCCAGCCTTTGGTTCTGGGATGATGCTCCAGCCAGCCGAGCTACGCCATCCAGGGCTGGTCCCACCCACCCATCCACCCACTCATCCATCCATCATTAGAAGACGCTGTTTTTACAGAGGGGGGGGAGGGAGACGGGGAGAAACACTGGCGTGTGAGAGGAACACACACGGGTTGCCTCTCACACGCCCCCAGCGGGGGGCCTGGCCTGCAGCTGGTGCTCAGTCCGCGGCACGCAGTGTGTGGGGTCGCGCCCGCCAGGGCGGCCCCGTGGGTCTCCGACGGGCGGTGCGCCTTCCGGGAAGGACGAGCGCCGTGACCAGGGAGGCTCCTGTTTGTGGGGGAAGGCGTGTGGGCTGTCATGGGCCCTCCGCCTGGGGGCCTTCCCACCTCGCCGCTGCGGTGCTGGTGGGAGCCCAGGGCCGGGCGGACGCGTGGGCGAGCCTGAACGGGCGGGGGGACGCACACCCACGTTCTGCTCTCGCGGCCCCTCTCGGCAGGGCCTGGAGCCGGTGAGGGTGGGGTCTGCCCCTGCGGGGGTGTGGGTGAGGGCTACTGTGCCACCTCGGGCCCGGGCTGCAGCCGGCTGTCCATGAGGTCAGCCGAGGTCACACTCGGAACCACCGCAGCCCCCCTTCAGGGCCTTGCCAGGTGTCAGGAGGTCCCTGTGTCCAGACTTTGGGGGGCAGCCCCTCCCTGTGTACTGTCCCCCTCAGAAAAGGCTGCCTGTGCTTAGCTCACTGAGAGGGCATTTTTGCGTTGGAAAGCACACGATTGCTGTCACCGTGGAATGGAATGGAGTGAGCTCGGTCACAGACTGGAGACTCCACAGTGGGGTGGCTTTGCGAAGAGCTGGAGTACGTGGCCTTTGCCGGGGCGGGCGTGGGGGCCTCTTCCTGCCCAGCGAGCGGGGCAGCCCTCTGCGGGGCGCGTCCCCTGAGCGCATGCGCTGGGGCCTGGGACCCGCCTCCGGAGGCTGCTCTGCCTGCTGGCCCCGGGGCCTCAGAACTCGTTTGCGTGGTTGCGGGGCCCAGGGGGGCTGCTGGGACGAGCCCGTGCCGCCCACCCCAGCCTGCGGCTCAGAGGGCTGTTTGCTTGCGTGCTGTGTCCTGGAGCCCGCTGGGTGCTCGGACTCTGTCGTGATGGCTGCCCCCCCCGCTCCCCCCAGGTACCGGAAGCTGGCGCTGAAGTGGCACCCGGACAAAAACCCCGACAACAAGGAGGAGGCGGAGCGGAAGTTCAAGCAGGTGGCCGAGGCCTACGAGGTGCTGTCCGACGGTGAGTGGCCTGGTGGGCTCTGCCGCCTGCGGAGAAGGCTCTGGCCTCTGGCTTTCTTCCAGGAGGCCGGACCCTGTGGGCGTGCTGGAGCATCTCTCCCCCGTGTTCCGGGGGAGGCAGGGCCTCTCACCGCGCGGGCGCTGGGCACCGGGCACCTGCGGCCTCTGGTCTCAGGCTGGGGCTGGGCTGCTGCGCCCGGCTGACTGGGGACACACGGGACCTGGGGTCCTGCGTGTGCGGCACGTCCTGACAAGAGCAAAGGAAACACAGGGTGCTGAGCCCAGACTTGAACTTCACAGCAAGATAGCCTGTGAACGTCCATGCGCACAGTGTTGCCTTTCCCCTCATGAGGGGGCTGTGCTCTTCCTGGACTCGCAGGCAGCCTGTGGCCCGAGCCGGTGGCTGGGCGTCACCTCCAGAGAGCGCCTGTGGGTGACAGGACGCTGGGTCCCAGCACTGGCTGGGGTCGGGGCATGGGTGGCGCTGCCCCGCTCCCCCCGCCCCCGGAAGGTCGGGGACAGGACCCCGCACGGCAGGCCAGGCCGCTGTCTTACGGGGGCAGGGGCTGCGGCTGCTGGGCTCGGTCTCCTGCTTCCTGTGCCCGCGCCCCGCCCAGTGGTGAGGGCCGGAGACACCCCGGGGCGCGGTGGGGCGGCTTCGTGCGGCACGTGTGGGCTCTGAGCAGCGGGGTGAGACTTGGAGAAAGAGGGAGAGAAACTTCAAAGTGTGGTTGCCTCCCCTGCGCCCCCTACTGGGGCCCTGGCCCACAACCCAGGCCTGTGCCCTGACTGGGAATCAACCGGAGACCCTTGGGTCCTCCTCAGGCTGGTGCTCAGTCCACTGAGCCGCACCAGCGGGGTGCAGTGTTTAACGTTGATGGTCGCGCTTTAACTTCATAGCGCCGGAACGTGTGCTGGGTTTGTAAGGAGACGAGTGCTCAGATGCTCCCCCCTTCAGCTCGGAGCGCGGTCGGCCCGGCCCTCCGCTGACTGCTGACCCGGGGACCTGCGGGCCTGTCCTCCAGGTCCCGGGAGTCCCCTTCTCCCTGTGTCTTCCCTCCACCGCTGCGCCCCTCGGCGCGCTCTCCCACCCCTGCCCTCTGCCCGCGCCGGTCTCTGCCTCACGGCTCGGGAGTCCTTGGTCTGCAGGCCGGTGGGGAGAGGAGCTGGGTCTCGGCTGACTCTTCCTGTCACATTCGCAGCTAAGAAGCGGGACCTCTACGACAAGTACGGCAAAGAAGGACTGAATGGAGGCGGAGGTGCGTCAGCGTCGGGTTCCTCTGATGGCACCGTCGGGGTGGGGGGCGGGGGTGCGTGTGTGAGCTCTCGGGGGCGCGGCAGCGCAGGGTGGCCTGGGGCCGGCAGACGGGGGGCGCCCGGCCCGCAGCGCTCACGGCCGCTGTGCCTGTGCAGGCGGGAGCCACTTCGACAGCCCGTTCAGCGAGTTCGGCTTCACGTTCCGGAACCCGGAGGACGTGTTCCGGGATTTCTTCGGAGGAAGGGACCCGTTCTCGTTCGACTTCTTCGGTGAGTTCTCGGCCGGGCGGCGGCCCGCGGGGTCCCCGGGAGGCCGGGAAGGGAGGGCTGGCGGCGGGGCCCCGGCACGGCTGCCTCCCCCGGCACTGCCCCGCACGCGCTGCCCCTTCTCTCGAAGGTTCTCCTGAGTCCACACCTCGCACAGTGGGACGGTGGGACAGCGGGGGTTCTCACGTGTTCTCTCCACTGCCAGGGGGCCTCACGGTCTACCTCCTGCCGCCTCCAGCGCGCGGCGGTCGGGCTGCGGGTGCCGCACAGGCTCTGGCGGAAAGCGGCAGCGCTGCAGCCCCGGCGATGGGCACGGTCTCTCCGCGGCTCTGTGTGGTGTGCACCTGGCCCCGGGGCAGCGGGGTCCAGCGCAGTCTGCGGGAGGAGCCAGCTCCGGGCCGTGCAGCGTGGCGTCGGCGCGCTGGAGGGAGCCCCGGTGTCACTGCTGCCGCGTAGCGGGGTGCGGGCCAGTCCCATCTCCTCCGTGCCCGTGCGTGTCTCCGTCACAGGCGTCGTGGGCACGCCTGTGAGCCAGCTGCGGCACCTGGGGCGTCGGGGTGCTGGGTGGTGCCGCCGCCACTGCTGCTCTGCCTTTGGGATCACCGGCGGGCAGCGCCCCCCTGAGCCCGTCACGCTGGGGCCTGGGCGCAGGGGCCGGGCGGCAGCTGCACGCCCCGGGGGGCGCGGTGCCGAAGAGCAGCTCCGCCTGTAGAGGCCACGGGGACCATGGACCCGCTTGTCTCAGTGTGGGCGGGGCCACCCGCTGCTGTGTGGGGTGGGTGCAGGCCTTCTCAGCTGGGCGGTCTTCGCTCTTGCTTTGGGGGACGAGCTTCAGAGACACTTGTCTTGCTGTGCCAGGGCGTGGCCTGGCTGTGAGACGGGCCTGTGGCCTGTGGGGGGGCAGGTGTCTGTTGGTGTGCGTCTGCGAGCCTTGCCCCCGACAGGTGGCGCGCGGGGGGCTGAGCAGAGCCGCGCCCCTGCCGCGTGCGGGCTGGGTTCTTCCTGGAGGGCGGCTGTGCCCGCCGCCGTCGGAGCCTGCAGTGGGTGGGTGCTCGCTTGTCCGCCCGGGGCTTTCCCGGCACAGGGCGGTGTTGGGGACGTCCTGTTGTCCGGGGTGGCTGGCCTTCTGCCTTCCCGGGTGTGGGGCCGCAGGTGCCCGGGCCGCAGGTGGCGGGGAAGGAAGGATCCTCTGTGCCGAGCGCGTGTGATGGGGTTCGTGTCACGTGGCTCTTCAGGGGCGAGAGTGAAGGGCAGAGGCCCACCGTGGTGCGAGGGGCTGGGCTGTGCGTCTCTTGGGGAGCAGTCCGGACGGGCCGGGCTGAAACGGGTGTCCCCGAGCAGCCCCCCCGGAGCAGGAGCGTGCAGAGGGCCGGTTGGGCAGGGTGGAGGCGGGCTGACCCCGCTGCCGAGCGGACGAGGGCCTGCCGCCCGGAGGTGCTGCTCCCGTGGCCGTCGATGCAGGCACCGCCCTCCCCACGCGTGCCGTGGCGGTGACCCCTCTCCCGCCCGGCCTTGCAGGTGTCCTAGGAGGCTTCCATTTTCAGGCTGTCAGGATCTGCACGCAGGAGGAGGAGCGGCTCCCCGGCGACCGCACGGGCGGCGTGGCGCCGTGGCCGGCTGGCGGTACGTGCGCGGGGCAGCTGCTGTCTGTCCGTGGGTCACACGGCCTGGCACGAGACGCCTCGTTGCAACGCAGAACCTCGGCTGGGCCTCGAGGCTCCCCAGACGCAGCAGAGGGTGACGGGCGCTGGGCAGACAGTGGGCAGTTCTGGGCCCCGGCGCCTGGCGGCAGGACGTCCCTGGCGTGCAGGGGCACTGGGGCCGGGGCCCTGCCGGCCCGGAGCCTCCACCTGGGGGCGGGGGGGGGGAACTAGTTCTGAGCCCGGCTTCTGAGGCTGCCGGTGGCCCCGGGCGCGGGGCCACAGCCTGAACCAGGACCCCCTTGGCACGCACTCACAGCCGTGCACGCCGTGGGCCGGCCGGGCAGCCCCGAGCTGGACTCACCCGCTTGCTCACCTCGGCACACGGGGGACCCCGCCCTGTGTCCAGGGAGCACGTCCGTCCCTGCCCGTGTCCGGCACACGGCCCCGGACGCGGGACGGCCTGTGGAGGAGGGCACGGCCCCTGTCGTGTAGTGAGCCTGCCTTTGCCCCCAGGGTTCGAGGAGGCCGAGCCGCCTGGGGAGGAGCTGGACTGGCCGACGGAGGAGGACGTCCTGAGCGTGGGGAGCGTCCTGAGCGTGGGGAGCGGTGACGCGCTGGAGGTGGTCTCCAGCGAGGAGCTCGAGGGCTCCAGCGCAGGGGAGTCGGGCGAGGAGGCCTGGGGCCGGGGCTGGGGCTGGGGCCGGGCGGAGCTCCGGACGGGGGGCCTGCGGTCCACGTCCAGCGAGGAGGGCGAGGCCAGCCTGAGGGACAGCCGGGGGCTCAGTGGGGACAGCGAGGGGCTCAGCGAGGACATCGAGGAGCTGCTGAGCGAGGACAGTGGCCCGGAGCTCGAGGTGCTGCTGGCACACCTGTGACTGCACGGCCGCTCCGGGGGCTGCCGTGGCGAGCGTGTCGTGAATAAAGAGTTTCTGCTACTGCGTCCTGGTCGGAGCAGCCCTTGGTCAGATTTGGGGCTGGCGTGGCCACCGCAGAGGACACCGGGGTGGGAGGGCTCTTTCTGGGGCCGGAAGGACAGGCAGGGCTGGAGGCTGGAGGCCGGAGGCCAGGGCCTGAAGGGGGTGGCTGTGGGGAGCGTCCCGTCCGGGCCTCCCCAGCCTCTGGCGGCCTCAGAGCCTTCTCTCTGGCGTGCACGCGTCTCACACTGTGTCCCTTGGTGGGGCCTGTCCGTCCAGACTTCCTCTCCCTCCGTGTGCGACCGCAGCGGGTGACGCCCCCTGGTGCCTGCTGGCAGCACAGCTGGGCCACGGTGCGGCCCGGGGTGCGGTCTTTCCGACTGCTGGCTGTTAGCTCCGGAGCAGCGGGCGGAGTCGACAGAGGGCAGCGACCCGGGACGGCCCGGTGCCGCGGTGGGGGCCCCGGGGTGACGTGTGCCTGTGCGGTCCTGGCTGTGACGAGGCGCTGGCTCTCACGCTGTGCGCAGGAGGGCGGAAGGGCGAGGTGCTTGGGCCGAGGGGGACCTCGTGTGGCCCTGGTTCAGATCACCCCCGGCAAGGCCCGGGGTCCTTGGTTGGGGGGGAGCCGCCGCCCTGCAGGCACCCCCACCTGCTTCTCTCGTCGGGGGTGGGGGTTAGAGCTCTGGGTGAGCCGCGCTCGAGTTGCGTGGGGCTCTGCAGGTGCAGGTGCGGAGCCAGCCCCGGGGAGAGTCACGTCTCACCTGAGACAGGTGCTGGCGGAGGAGGGGGCTGTGCGGGGCAAGGGGGTGGGGGCAGTGGTCATGCGGCTGGCTGGTTCCTGGGCTGTGGAACCCGCAGGGGGCGGCCGGCCCTCCCCCCACTGTTCTGTGCTCCCCAGTGGGAGCCAGCGTGCACCTCCGGCAGGCAGGTCCTCACCCTTGTGTGTGGTTTGCGGGTGGCCCTTGGGTCAGCGTGTCCGAGTTTTTCACGGGCCTTTCTCCTCTCGGTCTGGTGGGGTCGTGGCCGCTGCGGCTGTGGGCGCTGCCTCCCGCCGGGAGGGGGTGGGGGGCTGCTCAGCGGAAGGGACACCACGAGATGAGACGCAGCTGCCCCGTGGGCTCCTGTGGGATTGTCGCTGGGGCCCGGGTCATGGACCAGGCCACGGGGGGTGCCCCTGCGGGGACGGCACTGCAGCCCAGCCGGGACATGACCGGACGCGCTCGGTCGTTCCGGGGCAGCTGTGTGGGGGCCGGATGGCATGAGCCCGCCCCGTGGGGAGGGCCGTTGGTTCTGTTCAGGCTGCCGCTCCGAGGGCTGGCCTCCCCAACCCCCGGGACCCTGCCCCCTTGGCCCTCAGGCTGGTATGGCTCGGGGCGAGAGCTGGTGGGGGAGAGCCGCTGCCGCCTCTCCCCGCCGCCCCACACCCTGGCTGGGTGGGTGCGTGGGTGGGGGGGACACGGTGGCACGGTTGGGGGTGTGCACGGGTCCCTGCGGTCGGCGTGTGGACCTCCAGGTGCAGTGCTTACTCTTCCGAGCCTTAAAAGCCACGGCGCCCGCGTGTTCCAGGTGAGACCTGGGGACGCAGAGGAGAGTGGAAGGAGGGGGAGCAAGTGCCCTCGGTCCTGCCAACGCCGCGGTCAGGCCCTGCGGCCGCTCCACATGCGTCCCGCTGCCGTGTGCCTCTGAGGTGCGGACGCCGGGGTCACGCTGCGGCCCGCCCAGGGCCCGCACTCCGCCTGCCGGTCTCCTGCGTCGGGGCCCAGGGGTCGGATTGTCGGGGGTCCTCGCCTCAGCGCTGGGTGGGGCTCTCAGGGTGCAGTGAGTTCTTGCCTGTTTGGGCCAAGGTGGTTTTTTAAGTTTTCTTTCCAAAGTCGAGTTGCTGGGTGGAGGGTTTTTAAACAGTTGCGTTTGGTTTTGGGGTTGAAGATGTGAAGGCTCGTGTACGGCCGTACCCCCTTCAGAGAGCAGAACCCAGCACGGCCGGCGATGGGACGGGCGCTCCTGGTAAGGGTGTGTTTAGTCTCCTGGCGGCAGCTTCCAACAACATCGTTGTGACACTAAAGCCATGTGTTTCTAGTAGTTACCGTGACAGTGATAACCAGGTTTTCATATTTAGAAGTAACGTTTGTGACTTTAATATTCGAATGTCTATGTTGAAATTCCGTGGATACCTGAATTGCAGAAAGTCATGTGTGGGTTATTTAGTATCAGTAGAAAAATGAGCAAGATGTGCACATTTAAAACTTGGGTGTATTTAAGAAAGTACAATAAAAAAGCCATTGACCTTCCTCGCACCCTCCCGAACCAGCCCCTGCAGGCGCTCCTGCAGGAGGAGAGTTTACGGGGTGGGGGGGGGGCGCTCAGCACGAGAGCCCCGTCCTGGAACCCCCCCCCCCGGTCCTGGAGCCCCTCGAGTGGCGTGCAGGGCGCCCCGGGACCGGTCCTCAGAGCAGGGGCCAGCGGGGCACCAGAGCATGCAGCCGTGTGTGCAGCAGCTCCGTGCCCGTCCCCGTCCCTGGGCGGCCCCCGCGGTCTCCGGTGGGCGGCTTTCTGCCCCCGCCCAGGCACGTCTGCCTTGCTGTCCGTTGGATTCTCTCGCTCGTGAGCTTCCTCCGTTTTCCTGAGGGAAAGCGAGCGCTGATTGGTTTCCTAGAACCCCGGTGGGAACTGCTTCTCGACGGTGGGAACTGCTCCTCGACGAGCCGCCAGCTGCAGGGCCTGTGCGCTGGGGGGCGGTGGCCGACCGTCGCGGTGGCCGGTGCCGGGAAGCGCGGTGTCGGGCCTGCAGGGCCCGTTTGCTCAGCGTTCACCGGACCGGCGGGCGTTCCTGCGCCCGCGGCCCAGCGTGCCCGGTCTCCCTGTGGGCTGTGGCGGCGGCGAGTGGTCCGCTCCTGTCGTGGTTTCGCAGCCGTGCTGGGGACGGCTGGCCTGGGGACAGCTGGCCGTGCCCGCCCCAGGGCCCGTGGTCCGAGGCTGGGGGGCGGCCGTCCGCCTGTCCGGGTGCACAAGGCTCTGGGCGGACCCCGAGGTGGGGGCGGGCCCCCCGGGAGAAGGACTTGCTGCGCCGCCTCGCCAGCCCTCGGCGCCTCCCGAGACCCCGTCCCCGTGGCGGCCCCCGTGGAGCGGCGTCTCACCACTGTGTCTGTCCGCAGAAGACCCCTTCAACGACGACTTCTTCGGGAACCGCCGGGGCTCCCGCGTGAGCAGGACCCGCGGCGCAGGCTCCTTCTTCTCCGCCTTCAGCGGGTTCCCGTCTTTCGGAGGAGGGTTTGCTGCTTTCGACACAGGTACCAGACCCCCCGCCGTGGCGTCCGGCCGGAGTCGGGCGTGGGCCGCACCCACCGCACCAGGGCAGGCTGGGGCGCCCCCTCCTGGCAGGGCAGGCCCGTGCTCACCGACCTGCGTTCTGTTCCGACCCTCCCGGGCTCGTGACATGAAACCCCGTTTCTTTTTTCTTTCCTTTTTTTTTTTTTTTTTTCTTAAGATTTTACTTATTTTCACAGAGAGGGGGAGGAAGGGAGAAACGGGGGGGGGGGGGAGAAACACCAGTGTGTGGTTGCCTCTTGTGTACCCCCTACTGGGGGCCAGCCCGCAACCCAGGCATGTGCCCTGACTGGGGATCGAACCTGCGATCCCCTGGCTCACGGGCCGGTGCTCAGCCCGCCGAGCCACAGCAGCCGGGCGGACGACCCAGCCCCGCTCTCACTGTGCGTGGTGGAAGGGCTGGTCGGGTGGAGTTGTGTGTGGTGGCCGTCCGGCTTTCAGAGGCAGAAGCAAGAGGTGGCCTCCGCAGCTCAGGTCTCTTCTGTCACGTGTGGTAATATTTTGGGGATTCTGGATTAAATAGCATTATTCAAGTTTATTGGTTTTTTAAAGTTTTTTAACGGGGCGTTAGAAAGTCAGCGGCAGGTGTGTGTCCCGTTGGCCGTCACTGGGCCCCGACCGCCCTGGAGCCCGGTGGCGGGGACCCTGCCGGGCCGTGGGTGCTGGGTTCACGGGAGAGGGGACCGGCATCCTGTCCCCACCTGCTTTGCTGCTGGGGGTGCTCCTGCACTTCGGGGTTCGTGTCCCCACCGTGGCCACCGTGGAATCGAGGGCACGGCCAAGAACCACAGGTCCGTTTGCTCTGGAGTCACTGTGGCTTTTTAACAGTCCAGATTGCTGTCCCCCTGGCCCGTTGCAAGGGGAGGGCGAGCAGGGGGCGCTGCCGCCCTGGCTGAGTGGGGAGGGCGCTCTGCTCCTGGGAGACGCAGGCGCCGGGCCCTCCCGGCCCCTCCCGGCCCCGCCACGAGGCTGGGGACCCAGTGGACCCAGCAGATGGGGGAAGCCCTTGGGGGGTAGGTGTGGGAGGGGAGGGGACTGGGAGCAGGGGCCCCCCGCCGCCCCGCACTCCTGCGGCCAGTGTGGGGCTGGGGGGGGGGGTGGGCTCTGAGGACTGGGGGTTTCCGCACCAAACGCCTGGCAGGCGTGCGCCTCTAACCGCCCCCCGTCTCCCGCAGGGTTCGGGTCCTTGGGCCACGGGGGCCTCACCTCCTTCTCCTCCACGACGTTCGGTGGCGGGGGGATGGGCAGCTTCAAGTCCGTGTCCACGTCCACCAAGATGGTCAACGGCAGGAAGATCACGACGAAGAGGTAGGTCTCCTCCCGCTGCCGTGTCCGGCGAGCGGGTGTGACGGGCGGTGGCCGCCCTGGTTCCCGCCCCCAGCGCGTGGCCTGCGGGCTGAAGGGTCATGTGGCACCTGAGGACCTTTGTGTTTGAAACAGTGTTTCGTCTATTACTGCTCTTTGAGGGCAGGAGGGGAGACACACGTTGGTCGGTTGCCTCTCATGCGCCCCCACTGGGGACCTGGCCCCCAGCCCAGGCCTGTGCCCTGACGGAATCGAACCGGCGACCCCTTGGTTCACAGCCCGCGCTCAGTCCACTGGGCCACCCCAGCCGGGGTGGGAGTGTTGGTTAGTGTCACACGCCAGTGGTCTGCATTCAGAGCCGTGTTCCGCAGTCCGTCGGTCGGGGGCAGGTGTGGGCGGCTCTGTGGGACTGGTGGGAGGGCAGTGCTGTGGCCGTGCCCGCTCTGCCCCTGTGGTCAGCGCACGGCCTGTGCTCGCTGCGGGGCCCCGCGGCGGCGGCGGTGGCAGAGCGCAGAGTGTGTCTGCGAGCTCGAGGCTGCGAGCTGCGAGCGTGCTGCAGGTGGGTGTCGGCGGAGCTCTCCAGGGTCCGGCCTGCTGTCCCGTGTGTGTCTGTGGCAGCCGTGTTGCTTCAGGTGTGTGCGTGTTCACACCCGTGTCTACTTCAGCGTGTGTAAAAGTGCGTCTCACCCCCAGGATCGTCGAGAACGGTGAAGAGAGAGTGGAGGTCGAGGAGGACGGCCAGCTCAAGTCCCTGACGATAAATGGTAAGGAGCAGCGGCTACGCTTGGATAACAAGTAACTGGACGCACGCGTGTAGCAGACGTGTTAGCGGTAACGAGCACCGTTGAGGAGTAACAGGAGCGTTGTGTGAAGACCCCACGGACTCGACCCCCCGTGTCACTGACCTAACCTATTTATGCGCAGCTCGCCGGAGCCTCTTGTCACAGACTCTTGAGTTTCTTGTCGGGACCACGTGGTAGGACGTCTTGTCTTTGGAATTGTTGTCAACCTCTGTATGCACTTTGCTTTTCTGTGACACGTGGCCCCAGGCGGCCGGGACCCCGTGCACTAACACCAGCACAGGCTTCTTCGTGGCGTGGGAGCCCCGCGGCGGCGGCCCACTGGGAAGCTGCCGCCCCTGCCGGGACGGACCCTCCACGCGGGCGCTGCAGCGCTTTCTGTGTGTCGTAGTGAGAGGCCTGACCGCACCGGTGGTGACACGTTTCCGGTTCCACGTACATTGAGGACGTTTTTAGTTGTGCATGAATGCTGGCAACCTAGTGAGTTTGACCTTGTTTTAAATGTGTAAAGTTAAGTTCAGGTGTAAAAAGTAAAGCTGGTGAATTGGGTCTTTGTTACTTGCTTAAAACAAAAAAAATAAACGCGCTGTGTTTGGTGCATTCTTTCCCGGCGGGGCTCGCAGCCCCCGTGTCCGTGTGGTCTCTGCCCGGCCTCTGCCGTCCCCGCCCACCTGCCGGGCGTCCGCAGAGGGCGGGAGGACGCCCCGTCTCTGCTTGGCCGTGGGGGGCGCTCCGTGGCGCGGGGTACTGTGGCGAGAAGCCACGGAGGTGCCATCTCTGTCCCGGCCTCCCAGGCTCCGTCCGGCGCCGGCTCAGAGAGCGCACGGTCCCGTCACGGGGCGGTCGGCGCGGCGGAAGGCGAGGTGCTGCCTGTCTCCCTGTCGGTGCACTCGGTCCTGGTCCCCCGCGAGCGCCAGTGCAGCCCCTCGGGGACGGGGAGGGAGGGGGCCGTCCCGCTCGGCGTGGTTGTGCAGGGCAGCGGGGGGGAGCCGTCCAGGGGCGGGCGCAGGGTGGGCACTGGGGGCTTCCGTGGACCGAGGCCGGCTGCGAGGGCAAGCCCGGCGGGCGGAGCGCAAGTGCTGCTGGGAACCAGTAGGAGTGTCTCGGGGTCTCCCGGAAGCCGCGCGGGGGAGGTGTCGGGAGAGCTGAGGGCTCAGGGGCTGCTGCCCATGGGGGGGGGGGGAAGGGGGAGACACGCCCCCGTGCGGCCCGGCCCCGCCCCGACCGAGCGCCTGGGCCGTGGGGGAGTGCCGGGAGTGCTGGGCCCCACAGACTGAGAGTTAACGGCCGGAGAGCGTCCCTTTTCCTTCACGCTGTCAGGAGGGTGCAGCTTCCCCGCCGGGTGGGGGGCCAGAAGCAAGCGCCTGGACCTCAAGACCCCTCGGAGTCTTCCGTTTTCCGCGGGAGGGCAGGACGAGCCCCGGGCGGAAGGAAAGGCTGGGCGGCCCCAGGAACCCGGCTCGGGGAGAGGCCTGCCGGGCCACTCCAGGTGCTCTCCGTGAGCCCGCGGGGGCCCTGCGGCGGCTGGGCGAGACTCCCACCGTGCACAGCTCGTCGGGCTGGCGTCACCGGGAGAGAGTCGCCTGCTGCCTGCCGTGTTCGGCCATGGGTGGCGCGCATTGTTTTGCCCCAAGTTTCGAGGTAGAAGGGAGGAGGTGCGTTGTGCGTGGGCAGTACTAACTCCCTGTCCGCACGAATGTTCCTGTTCTGCTCACGCGTTGAGTGTGACGGGAAAACCAGAACGATGTCCGCATGCAGAGTAACACCCCCCTGGAGTGCGGTGCCCGGTGGGGCTCTGAGTTCAGAGGACAGGTTCTTGTGTCCCTGGACGTCTGGACCGCAGACGGCGGTGTGCACCGTGCACGGTGGTCGTTGGTGGGGGCGGTCGCCCCTTGGCTCCCGCTCCCCAGGAGCTGGTGGTGGTCTCTGCTGTGGCCACGCCCCCACCCCCCCGCCCCGGGCAGGGCTGGACCCTCTGGGGGAGCTGCGGGGGGTGCTGGGCGAGGAGGGCCAGCCTGCTCCTCCTGCACGCTTCCCGGTCCCCGGGCCGTCTCGGCTTGGAGAACCACCTCACGGCCTGGGGGCGGGGGTCCCCTGGGTTGTGTCTGTGTCCTCCATGCGGCGAGGGGGGTTCCAGCGGGACAGTGGGCCTGCGGGGCCCTCAAGGTCCGGGTGAGTCAGGTCCCGTGGGCTCCGGCCTCTCGCTCCTGTGGGCGCCCGCCGTCGGAGGAGCATGGGCACTCGCCGTCGGAGGCGCACGGGCCCCCTGCCAACGCACTCCCGCGTCCCAGCCGCGTCGTCACCGGGTGCCCGTCCAGTTTTAGCGCTTTCCCTTCTCTCTGCTAACGGCGCTCCTGCAGACCACCCAGGTGCGTCCACGCGGGCGTGGGTGCGGGTTTCAGAAGCCGACTCGGACTCCCGGAGCGACCTCGGTCTCGGCTGGCTTCTCGGTCGGGCGCACAGCAGGGCTGGATGGAGGAGGAGGGGCCTGGGGTCGGGGCGCCCGGGAGTAGAGGTGAGGGGGCGCCGTGTTCCCTCCGTCGTGTGAGAGTGTGGGCCGCCCGGGGGGGCCCTTTGCACCCCTGCCCTCCCGCCACTGCCGTGGGGCCCAGGCCCGGCTCCGCCCCCCGGGGTAGAGCGCAGTGGGGCCGTCCTCCTGGGGCGCGGGCGTGGGGACGGCCGGTCTGGCTGTCAGGTGGCCGGGCTCCGGGCCGGGCTCCTTGGGCTGCTCCTCGCTGGGCGGCAGAGGCCGTGGGGGCGCGGCCCTGGCCTGCAAGTCGGTGGCTGAGCAAAGGGACCGGTGACGGCACAGCTGGCCCCCCGGCTCCCAGGGCGCAGCTCCTCCGGACAGCGGCTTGCAGTGGCCAGGTGGACTCGAGGCCCCTCGGAGCCTGCACGCCGTCCCACGGCGCCCCCTGCCCCCCCTGCCCCGGGCGCCGGTCCCTGGGGACGCTGCTGTCACCCGGGCTCCTGTGCAGAACTGGGGACGAGCGCCCGGGGACGGGGCCCTCGGTGGCTGCAGGGCCGCAGGGTCGCCTGGGTCCCGAGCCCACCTGAGGGCCGGAGCCCTGTGGCTGAGGTACGTGGGCAGGCGGTCGTGCCCCGGATGCCGCCACGCCGAGTCACCGCCACCTCTGCTCCGCCTGGGGCCGGCCGCCGCCCAGAGCCGAGCTCAGACGCAAAGACCCTGCTGAGTCCGCGCAGGCGGGCAGTGTGGCTCTGCGCTCCCAGGGCGTCTCGGGCGGGCGGGCGGTGTGCAGACCGGCACCCACTGGCCAGGGCCGGGAGCGGGCAGCTCGCCTTCAGGGCTTCACCCCAGGGGCCGGCACGCTCCCCGCCGGGTCCCCGCAGGGCGGCGGGCTGCACCGGGACCTGGGGGAGGGGCGGTGTGAGTTCCCCCCCGGGGTCTGCCCACCCGGCCAGCGCAGCGACGGCCCGAGCACAGGTGCGGCCCCCGTGCCCCTCCCGGCCCCTCTGCTGGGCACCTGGACCACGGCCGCCGGGTGGTCGGTGTGCCGGTCCCGGTGTGGTGTCATCTCGTCGCACCGCGCAAGCGTCCGGGACACCTGGTTCTGGCTGGTCTGCCGTGGAGCGCAGTGCCCCTGGCAGCCCCGGCCCCGCAGACGGGCCGTGCTCCAGGCGGGAGGCCGGTTGCAGAGCGGCCGGGGGTCAGCCATGGGCCGTGGCCCTGGGACAGCCTGGCGTCCCGGCCTCCAGACCTGCGTGGTGGGACGCCCCCCCGGCCCCACCCCCGTGTGGGTTTCCCTCCCTGCGGGGTGGAGTGGGGGTGCGGCTGCCACAGGGCTGAGCCTGGGTGGGGGCACCCAGGTGTGGGGACCCGGGTGGTGCGGGCTCGAGCGTTTCTGAGCCAGGACACTCAACGGGGGGACCTTCCAGGGGCAGGCCCTGGAACGGGGACACCCAGAGTCTTCACCCTTCCCCAGAAAGGGCCATGGTGCTTGGGCCCCCCGGGGCGTCCTCAGCTCCCTTGCTGTGCAGTGCCTGGCTCCGAGGAGGAGGAGGAGGAAGGCAGCCCCAAACCCTTCCCGGCCCCTCCAGACACACGGTGCAGAATCGACTTTCATGGGGGGCACCCCTCAGGGCCCGGCTCCCAGCACCTCCTCGCGGGGCGTCCCCAGCCAACGGTTCCTGGCTGGTGGGTGTGGGGCAGGCGGGGCGGCCGGTGTGGGGGCCGCTGCGGTGGCCTCCCTGCGTCCGTCCGCACTCGGCTGGGGGTGCGGCTTTGTCCCCGCCCTAAGGGGCCTTGGGAGCCAGCGGAACGGAGCCCGTGTGTCCCCGAGAGCTTCCTGCGGCCCCCCCACGTGCCCAGGGCCTCGTCCCCCCCAGACCCTTGGGAGCTCGGCTGCGGGGGCCGTGAGGGCTGCCCTGTGCACACGCGTGTCCGCTCTGACAGGCCCGTGGGCCTGTGGCCGCACCTCTGCCCCCAGGCCGATCGAGTGCTGGGTGGACGGGCAGCGTTGCCCGAGGGCGAGGCTGGAGGTGGACCGCTGGGTCGGCGCGGGCGGCGACTTCGTCTCCGGGTCCCCAGGGCCCGGCCTCCTCGGGCTCCACCAGGCGGCACTCGGAGGTCGGCTGTGCCCTCGGGGTCGGGGGAGGGTCTTCCCACGCCGCCATCCCCTCCGGGCCGGGGCATTCCGGCTGCCGTGCAGGGACACCTGTGCTGGCCGGCCGGGACGAGCGCCTCGCGGGCCCGGCTCACGGCGGTCCCCGTCTGTCCCCGCAGGTGTGGCCGACGAAGCAGCGTTCCTGGAGGCGTGCCGGCTCCGGGGCCAGCAGGCGCTGCCCGCACAGCCCGCCGGCACCAGCGCCCGCCTGCCGAGGCCCCCCCGGCCAGCCCCGCTGCCCAAGCACCCGTCCCCTCCCCGGGTCGGCCAGGAGGAGGACGACCCCGCCGGCCGGCACCGGGCCAGCAGCAACTGGGACCCCTCCGTGCTCACAGGTGTGCAGGGGGGCGCCGGGGCGGGGCGCCCGCCCCCCGGGGACGCGCCCCCGGCCGCCCTCGGCCGGCGAGGACAGAAGCCGCTGCTGTGCTGCTGTGTCCTGACCTGAGGGGCGGGCGCGGGGGCCGGTCCGCTGGCCGGGCGGGGCGGGGGGCGCCTGCCGGGAGACCCCCCCTGATTAAACCAGGGTGCCAGCCTTCTGCGACGGTCTGAAGCGTGTTGTCTCCGCACGGACGAGGGGCGCGGCCTTGGCCTCAGACGCCCCCCTGGCGGGTTCTGCTCGGAGCCCCTGGGGTCTCCCGGGGCCCCGGGGCCAGGCGCCGGGCCTCTCCGGCAGGCCCTGGCTGCTGGCTGGCCTCAGCGCTGTGGGGTCTTGGGTTTTCTCTCTTCCCTTTTTTTCCCCCCCAAGAGATTTTATTTACCCATTTTTAGACGGGAGAGAGCTGGGGGGGGGGAAACAAATGAGCGGTTGCCTCTCGCACGCTCACTCCTGGGTGCCTGGTGTGCATCCCAGGCCTGTGCCCCGGCTGGGAATTGAACCGGCGACCCTTCGGTTCGCAGGCCAGTGTTCAGTCCCCTGAGCCGCACCAGCCGGGGTGGGCTGTGCTCCGTGTTCTGCCCTTCCTGCCTGCACCCGAGCTCGGTGGGAGGTGAGACCGGCCCGCCGGCCGGCCGGCCCACCCAGGGCCGTGTGCAGAGCCCGGTGTGAGGCTGCCGCTGCAGACGGTGCCTGTGGGGGGGGGCACTTGCCACCTCCTGGAGAACCCTGGGGCGGTGAGACGCGAGAGAAAAAGCCGGAAGTAACTCCTCTAGGAAATGACCTGTTTTTGCTGGTTCCCACCACCGGGTCCCCTTACTGAGTGGGCACAGTGTCACGAGTGCGGTGCGGACTCTCACACCGCGGGCCGCGCTGCCCCTGTCCTCGCACGTGCCGGGGGTCTCGGCCCGCCCCGCACCCCGGGACCCTGCAGCACCGTCCAGAGGGCCCCGTCCCAGCGCCCCGGGAGCCTCACTGTCCTGGTCAGTGCGCAGTCCCCAGGGGGTCAGAGACCAGGTTCCCCTTCAGCGCACTCGTGTGAGAGACGCCAGCCCAGCAGCTCTGCTGGGGACGACAGAGCCGCCGAAGGGAGAGTCAGGAAACCGAGGCCGTGAGGCCGGAACGGGAGGAGAAGACGGCTCGGCCGTGAGCCGTGAGCCGTCCCTGCCGGCGGGCGGGCGAGGAGGCCCGGCCCCCGGGGGGCCCTCCTGCGGGCGCAGGTGACTCCCCTAAAAGGAAGTGGGCGTCAGGTGCTTGGTGACCCAGGACGCCCGGCCTCCAGCTTCTGGGGCGTGACCGGCCCCGGGACTCGGGTGCGCCGGGCGCCCGGGAGAGCGCTGCCCGGATGCTGGGTGCACTGCTGCCGTGAGCGGCGCCCGGTGGTTCTCCACCCCCGTGTCTCAGCACCAGGGACCCCCGTGTCTCAGCACCGGGTGCGGCGGCGGGGCCCTGGGCAGTCTGGGTGTCGGGTTTGGCTCGCCGGGTCCGCGCGGGTGGCCGGGAGAGGGATGCAGGTGTCAGTTGCTGGCATTTGGTTCCTTAAGATGCTGCTGCCTTAAATTCTAACCCCGCAGAAGTCCTGCTGGCCTCCTTTTAAGACTGAACTCACTTCTAGAGAGAGGGGGAGGGAGGGGGAAGAGAGACACCTGCTGGCAGCCTCTGGTGTGAGCCCCCACCGGGGACCGAGCCCCCAGCCCGGGCCTGTGCCCCGACCGGGAATCAGACCGGCCATCTTCCGCTCTGGTCGGGGCGCCGCGGCCGGGCTGCCTGCTCTGTCTCTGGCGTCGGGGACAGGTCTGCGTGAGGTCGTGTGCCCGGCCCCCGCAGCCGACACGGAGAGCGCTGAGAAGGGCTGGGGCCGCGCGGGGGCGGGGGGGGAGTCATGGAGCGTCCCGCACGGAACGGGCTCGGGCGAGGGCTGCGGCATGGGGCCGGGGCTCGCCCTGCGCTGCGCTGCACGGCTGGGGGCAGGGGCTCGTCCCCCCGGGGAGCTAACCTGCTTGTCCGCCCGTCCGCGCTTCCGCCGAGAACTTGCGGCTGCTGCTTGCAGAGTCGCTTCTGCGAGGGGTGAGGAAGGCCCCTGCCCCAGGGCCGGCCCGCGGGCCGCTCAGGCGTGGGTGGGGCCCTGGGGGCTGCGGGCACGGTCCGAGGGACGGAGGCCTGGCGTCTTTGGGGAGGGGCGGGGGCGGCCTGTGTGTGTTTCTGCTAATTTAAACGTGGGACACTTCAAGGGAACACCACACTCCGCTCCCCGGCGCACCCCTGAACCCCTGCTGCCCCTCCCCCGGCGGATGCGGCGTCACCTCACCGATGGGCAGTGCGCCTGCTGGAGTCCTGACCGCCCCCGCGCAACCCTGTTCCTGACGGTTCCATGGCCCCCGACCCCGGGAAGGGCCCTCCCTCTCTGGGGCCCGTGGGAGCCGGGGTGGGCGAAGGGCAGGGCCGCGGGAGGGGGGAGGCGGCGGGTAGAGCTGGCAGCTGCGGGTTACGCCACAGGGGTGGCCGGACCGGCTTTGGGAGGGGCCGGTGGGGGCCGGAGGGGCTGCAGGCCCTTGCTTCCTCCCACTCAGGCTGCGAGCGGACTTCCCAGGCGTGGGGCCTGGGTGGCGCGGCCTCGGGCAGAGGGGACACCCTTCTGCCCGGTGGCAGTGGGGGCTCGGCCCTCGGAGCCCCCGGGAAGGGGAGTCGGCGCGGCCAGTTCCCCGGGGTGTTGGCGGGGGGATCGCGGGCGGGGCGTGACTGGCGTGGGGGAGACCCGAGGGCATCACCAGGCGTGGGACCTGTGCCACGTGGGGGTGTGGTGGGGACCCCTGGCATGGTGGCTCAGTGAGCTGAGTCCCTCACCGGGCGCGGGAGGGTCCGGACGGCAGGTGACGCCGTCAAGGATGCGCTCAGGGGACCCGTAAGCAGGCCTAGGGCCCCGGCGGCCCCGGCCTGGCTCCGTGTCTCAGTTCTGCTCCAATCAGCCCCTTTAAACGGAGCTTTTCTCACCGCAACCCAACCCCCGCCGGTGTCCTGGCCCAGGAGCCCCGCCCCCTTCTCACAGGCCAGGCCGACCCAGCGTGGCCGCGGCCAGAGCGCCGAGGGCGAGGGCGCCTTCCCTGTGTGTCCCGCGGCCTCCGGCGGCACAGGCCGACTCTGCCCGCTTGGGGCGGAGGTCGGGCGGGCCCAAGCCCGCAGAGCCGGGGATGCCCCGGGAACCGGGTGCGCCCCGCCCGGTGGGAGTGGGCGGGGTCGTGCGCAGCGGCAGGGCCGGCGCCCCGCGGACCCTTGCGCACAGGCAGCTTGAGGCGTGCAGCCCTCGCGGCAAACCGAAGGGGGGGACGTGCGCGGCGGCCCGGAGCGTGCGCGTCGTCGGCGCGGGGGCGGCCGGGACGCCGGGTGGGGCCCGCTGCGGTCCGCGCAGTGTCTCACCAGCCGTGTCTCCTCAGGACTCAAAGACGGCGGCAAGAGGAAGAAGCAGAAGCACAGGGATGAGTCCAAGAAGAAGAAGTCGACCAAGGGCCACCACTGAGCGCGGGGCCGCGCCGCCGCGCCGGGCGGCGAGTGCGCACGCTAGGTAGGGCAGCGCCGCGCGGCCCCGGACACGCCCCCTCCCGGCACCCGGCGCCCAGGGGCGGTGGCGGCCTCGCTCCCCGGCACCGAGATAGCGTCCCCCTCCCCCCTCCCCGGCGTGGCTGTGCCTCCCCCTGGTCCTCCCCCGGCGCCGCCCTGGCGCCACCCCCCGACGTAGCTGTAGCTTTAGCGGCGTGACGACGACCAGGCTCAGACAGGCTGCGGCGTCTGCCCGTCCGTTCCCGGCGGCGCTCCTGCCCCATGGCACACGGTTCTGGGGACGGGAAGATAGCGTGTGTAGGTGACTCACAGGCAACACACTTCGCAGCCGAGCCCGGACCGGCGGGCGCCTCTCGGGAGCCGGGGCTGCCAGCCCGGTCCTCCCGGCGCCGTCCCGGCCGACCCCAATGTCCCCGGTTCCCACTCCTCCCGCCTCTCTGCCCCGGACCCGTGAGGGCTCTGTTCAGCGCGCGGCGGGGTTCCACGGGGCTGCGTTCGGAGAGGCCCCTCTGTCTGTGAGGTGGGGCAGGGGGCCGAGCTGTCAGCGCGCACACCCGCACGCACACGCGTGTGCCACCGGCTCCTGCTCTGGCGACACCGCGGCCTCTGGCGGCTGCTTTGCATGAGCTGCTGCTTTGCCCTTCGCTGCCCCGGTGCAGCCCTAACCCTGCTGCTCCCGCGGGGCGTCCCTCCTGCCGACGCCCGAGCCCACCGCTCGCCCGCCTCTCCCTCTCCCTCGTGGAGGAGGGGGCGGCCGGACGTGTGGACGCGACGCGAACACGCCAGCGGCCGAGCCCACAGTGGTGTGGCCGGGAAGCTTCCGCGCGGCGCCCAGGCCGGCCGCCAGGGGCGCGTGACGTCTGGGCGGTGCGCCACGCTGGCGGCGCGGCCCCGGGGTCCGACGCTCGCTGCGGGGACAGGGGACAGCGGCCTGGCGCGCCGCCCGCGTGAATAAAGTGTGAGTGTCTCCGCGCGGCTCCCGTGCCATCATTTCGGACGCCCGGGGTTGCGCTGCTGCGGGTCTTGAAATAAAATGGGTTCTGCGTCGTTTCGGTCCCGAGAGGTCAGGTGACCTTCAGGCAGAAGGCCGGACTGCTAGCTGCAGGCTGCGTGGCGACGCATCCTGAAGGTGGCTGAACACGCGTGTGAACCCGCAGCCCCGGGGGCACGGCGGGGGCCCCTGCTCCCACCTCTGTGGGGAGGGGGCTCACTGCCTGGTCACCTCCGCGGGGACCTGGGGCGGGCAGGCGACATGCGGGCAGGACACTTCACGGCACATGCCCTCGCTCTCCCTGGCCACACGGGCGCTGTGTCGGGGCCCGGAGTGTCTCCGAGGAGCAGGGCCTCACTCGACCCCCAGGTGAGGAGCAGGCAGGACCACACCTGCCTGGCTTGCGGGTCGGGGGTGGTCTTTGCTGCGCAGTGGGGCCCCCCGGGCAGCTGGGAGCCGCGTGGGGGAACCGGGCCTGCCTCTCCAGCTGCTCCTCCTCCCCCCTGGGGACAGAGCTTGTGGGGCCGGTGGGGGCCGGCCACCCCTCTACACGCTGGGGGGACTTGGGGCCCCGGGGCTCACGGAGGACCCCCACTCAGGAACACTGGTCTGACGTGCTCACGCCTCACGGGAAACGGCGCCCACAGCCCCTGCGCTGCCAGCGTCCCCTTGAAACCGGGACCCTGGATGACAGAGCCAGGGACAGGCCCCTGTGTGGTCGGAGGTCACGCCCGCTTGTCTTCCCGGCCGGCGGCCGCCCGCCGCCCAGCTGCCCCCACGGGGCGGCCCTCCTCCCGGGGCCAGGGGCCATGTTTCTGCTCCCACCTCCGAGGGGCCGGGGGCCCGTCCCGTCGCCCAGCTGCCCGGGCAGAGCAGGGTGCGGGCGGGGGTCTCAGCCCCCCAGCTAGTCCCCGCCAGGGTGCCCGGTGTCAGCACCCTGGGGTGGGGGTGAGCGGACGGGACGGTGCCCTGCCCCCCACCGGGTGCCCCTGGGCTCCGGTGTGGGCCCCAGGGTGCGGTGGCTGGGAAGGCTCCTTGGCTTCCTGGCGTGGGTGCCGCCGCCGCACCGGGGACTCGTGGCAGGACCGGCTGCTGCCTCTGCCCGGCGGCCTGCAAGCGAGTGAGCGACCACATGCCCTCAGCTGCTGCTCAGACGCGTGCGAAGGCGAGGGTGTTGCCGGGACTCGACTGAAACCCCAGCTGCTTCCCGAGGCCTCAGGAAGCACCGCCACCCACCTCCTCTCCCGGGTGAGGGCGGTCGTCCCGGGTCCCGGGCAGCACGGCACCGGCAGCATCACGGTCCCTGGACGACGGGGCCATCGGGAGCCCACGCTGCAGCCACTCCCTCAGGCGGTCCTGCTGCGGAGACCCGGCACCCGGCCCCCACGCAGTGGGCTGGGCTGACTGAGGCCCCACCCCCCTCCCCGGGGTCACGAGTGTGCGTGTGTCCCCAGTGAGCAGACCGAGTCCAGCTCTTACAGCATCAACGTGACTGAGCCTCTGGCTGCCTGGTGACAGGCGGGGGCCCCAGATGGCCCCGCACCATGAGTCTTCCTGTCCCCAAGACGGCGAACTCGATGCCTGGCGTGGCAGCTGGCTGGCGGGCTTGGGGCCCTGGGGCTGGGCTTGCAGGGGCCCTGGGTCCGGGAGGCCCCGGTGGGGCCCCCAAGTCTGCTGCCTGAGCCTCCCAGGCGCTGCTTGTCGTGCAGGCCACACCTGCTGGGCCCCTCGGCCCGGGACGCTGTCCCTGCACCGCCCCTGCCCCAGCCGTGACCGCCCGGGCGCTGGGCCGAGAGGGCGGGGTCTGTGCCCGGGGGTGGGGGGCATGTGGGGCCGTGACCTGGCCCTCTGTTCCCCCAGCCCAGCCGTCCCCGTCTGTCCACGGTGCAGAGCACAGGGTGCGGACGTCCCCAAGCCTCAGAGGGAGAGGTGGGGACCCCCAGTTCGGGGCTGGCGGGGAGAGGCGCACCTCCCGCCCGCCTCCCCTGCTGCCTGCTGCCCTCAGTGCCGGGCGCCTCTGACGCCTGTCACCGCCCCCGCCCGCGTCTGCTCCTGCCGCTCCGGGTCCCGGTCAGTGTGTGCGAGCCTGTCACGCCTGCGCACCTGAGCCAGAGCACCGGGTGCCTGCGGCCGCTGGACCCCTGGGGCCGGGCCGCGTTGGAGTGAGCACGTCGCTGGCGCCCTGCCCCCAGTGTTCCCCACGGTGACGCGCCTGTGGTTTGCATCATCCTCTCCTGTCTCTGTTCCGGGGACACGGCGGGGACAGACAGACGGACAGCACTTCCTGCCGCACCTGGGCCTCCGTCGTCTGGACCCCGGCCCGTTGTCTGTGCCGTGAGCCCCAGCGCGAGGCGGATTCCTCAGCGCCCCGGACGCCAGCCCCACCTCCACCTGCGGGGCCTCGTCTCAGACGTCCGGCGGGAATTCTTCAGCGTGGAACTTTCAAACCCACAATCAAATATTTTCTGAAAAACTTCCCTATAGCTCTGTAGTGAGAGGGAACTTTTTAAAGATTTAATTTACTTTTAGACAGAGGGGAAGGGAGGGAGAAAGAGAGGGAGAGAAACATCCGTGTGTGGTTGCCTCTTGAGCGCCCACTAGTGGGGGGATCCAGCCCACAACCCAGACATGTGACCTGACTGGGAATCGAACCGGCGACCCTTTGGTTTGTAGGCTGGTGCTCAATCCACTGAGCCACACCAGCCAGGGCTGTTTAAAAAACAAACAAACAAACAAAACAAAACAACCCAAGGTCTTGACAGAGGAAACCAGCACGGAGAACTGACTTGGGCGGGTCTGCGTCACCAGGGTATTTTCACGGTGCAATCTCTCCTGTGGCCACAGGAGGGCGCCTCCACAAAAGAAACGAGGGCTGTGGTCCAGAGATCCGCCTCCACCCCAGCCCCCACACACGTGCACACGCATGAACATGCACACATGTGCACAGACATGCACACACACTGAACTAGTTTATGTTCACGTCAATCAGGCTAAAGCGAGCTGGGGGGCCGCTCAGAGCCCCTCCGTGGCCCCTTGGTGGAGTGTAGGCGCTTGGTCTCGGGGCGTTTGTCTTGCCCCCCCTCCCCCTGCTGGCTGCTGGGCTGGGCGCCTGGCGAACAGGGGTCCACAGGGACACGGTGCTCCCCAGGAAAACGAGGCTCCCCCAAACGCTCAGACTTTTTCTTTCTACGCTCACATCTTGACTCCAGTGACACCTGATGAACCGTGATTTGTGCTTTCCTGGACTAATACAGAAAAGTGAACTCTACTTTAACTATTTCCAGCACTTTCCAGCCGCGGCCACCCCATAACCGCTTCCTCTGAGCGGGACAGCTCCCAGGGGTCACCGACCAGCCTCGGGCTCCTTCAGGTTGGGGTCCGTTGTGACGCAGACTCAGTCTCTGCTGTGGTTGGAATTGAGAGGAGCCCCAAGTGACCGAGACCCAGGATGTTGAGTTGGAAAACCCGCTCAGTTCGGGGGCAGGGAGACCTGCCGGCCTTGGGGTCACTGGGTGCCCTGCTGTCTGGACTTAGGAACTCAGAAATAAGAGCATGGTTCTAGGAAGAAATTCACTTAAATCTACTTCCTCAAAAGTTTTATTTTTGTTTCACATTTGCTTGCGTTGGTTGTATTGGTTTCAGGTACATGATGTAGAGACTCAGCATGAAAAAAAAGATTTTATCTGTTTGTTTTTAGAGACGGGGGGTGGAGGGAGAAAGAGAGGGGAAAAAACATTGATCAGTTGCCTCTCCTGCGTCCCCAACCTGCAACCCAGGCCTGTGCCCTAACCGGGAATCAAACCAGCGAGTTCACCTGGCAGAGAGTGCCCAACCAGCCACGGCAGTCAGGGCCGATTGGACATCCTCACACCTCACACCATGGACACCCCACTGGTTCTAGCACCCAGGTGTCACTGTGGGCACTTACCATGTTGTCAACAAAGTGTCCCCTTTTACCACCCCCTCCCCGCCCTCCTGGCACCCATCCCTTTGGTCTTTGTTTTTATGAGTCTGTTTTTTTAAAATCCTCACCCTGGTTGAGAGAGAGAATGAATGAATGAATGAATGAATGAATGGTTGCCTCTCCTGTGCTCCCCGAGGGGGGGCGGTATCGAGCCGGAAACCCAGGATGCGCCCTGACGGAACGGAACCGGCGAATGGAACCCTCTCCCTCCCGGTGCAGGAGGCCGCGCCCCAGGCAGCCGAGCCCCGCACCAACGCCCCCGCCCCCCCGCGGCCCCCAGGCTGTCTCTTCTGTTTCTAGACCCACCAGTGAGCAGGAAGTGGTGCGGGCGGCCCTTCCCACCCCGATTCAGGACCCCGGAGAAGTGCTCTCGGCAGGCCCCCCCTCCCCGCAAACCCACCCGTAAGCCGGGACGGGCGCACTCGGGGCAGGCGGGCGCCTTCACTCTCGCCAAAAGCCCCTGGCGCTAAAACTCGGGGCTCAGCTGACTCGGAGGGCGCTTTGGGGGCGGCGTCACTGCCCCGCCTGCAGCCCCTTCCTGGTGGAGGGGGCTCACCCGACACCGCCGTGCACACCGGTCCTCCAGGGGGAGGGACACTGAGGGGCAGCCGCCACCCACGCAGTCGATGCCCCCGCCACCCTGAGCCCAGGTTCCCAGGCGCCGTCTCCGCTGACGGTTGAATTTGGCGGCCGGTTTGGTGGCTGTGAACTCAGAAGTCGTGGACAAACAAGAGCCCTTGCTCCCTTGCTCCTTTGACAGGAGGTGTTAGATTTTTTCCTTTCTTTAAAGATTTTATTTATTTATGTTTAGAGAGGGGAAGGGAGGGAGAAAGAGAGGGAGAGAAACATCCATGTGTGGTCGCCTCTCCCACGCCCCCTGCTGGGGACCTGGCCTGAAACCCAGGCATGTGCCCTGACGAGGAATCGAACCTGAGACCCTTTGGTTCGCAGGCCAGCGCTCAATCCACTGAGGACACGCCAGCTGGGGCAAGTCACGTTATTTTTATAAAAAATACTGCAAGCGAGAGAGAAGGTGTTTTCACGTTTAGAACCTGGCGCTTTGCAGCGACAGCCACTCGGGCAGGCAGCCTCGGCTGCTCCGGCAGCACCCGGCCTCCCCCCGGATTTTAGCGCACGTTTGTTGACGTGGAGTCATCGCCTGCGGCCCCCGCGTCTTCCCCGCGTCCCCATCCCCGCCCTGTCACAGTTCACAGAAAGCCCGCGCGGCCGTGGCCGCGAAGCCGCTCCCCCTCCCGCGCGCGGGCGCGGGGGACGCTCGGATTGGCCGCGCGGTTGCCAGGACTCGTTTGCTAGGCTGGCGCGGGCTGCGGCCCCGCGGGACGTGCCATGAATTATGGATGCGCGGTTTTCTCCCTGTCGCCGGATCTGTGATGCAGATGAGAGCCGCCTCCCCCCTTTCTTCTGGCTTCTTAAGGGAAAAAAAGAAAAGAAAGAAAACCAGAGTTTTAAATCAGAAGCCGGCCTTTGCGAAGCCCCAGTGGCCGGGGCAGAGGGCCAGAGGCCCGGCCGAGGGTGTTAATTCTCATGCAAACAGGCGGCCGGAGGTCAGAGCGCGGTTTGTCCTGGAGAAGCCTCCCGGGTTTTCGCTGGGCCCGGCGACCCTCCGGGCGCCCTTCTTCTGCGTGAGATCAGAGACCGCGTGGGCAGCGGGGCTGGACACGAGGCATCTTCCGAGTATCAGACCCCTTCCCCTGGGGCCTGCAGTGGGCGCAGCCGGCAGGTGGGGCGGAGGGTCAGAGGCCTGGGCTCCCCACCTGCCCCTTTCCGCAGGTGGGCCCCCCGCCCTGCCGGCAGCACCCGGGGACATATGTCCACCACCCTGGGGTCAGGACACGCGGGCCCTCCCTGGTGGGCCCCCAAGCAGGAGGACGCAGTAGGGTCACGGAGGGCCGAGTTCCGGAACACACCTCAGGCTGCCTTGTCAGTTCGTCTGTCCCGCCTCATCCTGAGGCACCTGCGAGCCCGACAGACACCCCCGCCCCCCGTCCCAGCTCTTCCTCGAAGCAGCGTGAGCGCCAGAGGGGGACAGGGACACCGGACACGGCACAGCGGCTCCGCGGCCACGAGGGCGCTGGCTCTGGGCCTCGGCCCCAGCACCGAGGAGCAGGGTTGCGGAGTGTGGCCGCAGCGGCGGCCCCGAGGGCCCTCTCACCCCCACGGAGAGACCAGAGCTGGGACCCGCACTGAAAGGGGGGAGCGGAACCTCGTGTCAGAGGTGCCAGGTCCTCACGGGTGTGGCGGGGGTTGAGAACTGCGCTTGTCACTCCACCTCCGAGGGTGGCTATTGGGCGGCGGCTGGGCCAGGCCGAGGCCCCCAGACACAGGACGCCGCGGGGAGGGGCTGCTCAGGGAATAATCAGCCGAGCGTCCCTGTGGATCGCGTGTCCGTTCGAAGTGTGGTCCTTTCTGTTCACTGAGAGGATGGCCCGGGGCTGCGTCGCCTTTTCTTCCCAGGGTCACAGCCGGGGCTCGGGATTTAAATGTCGGGGATGGAAGAGGCCAGGGGACTCCCGCTCACCTGCACGCCTGTCGGGTGACGTGCCAGCGGGGGCGTCCCCCGCTGAAGCAGGAAAACCCTAATAATGGAAGCGAACGGGGCAGGTGACTGCCGGGTCTCTCCTGAGTCTTTAGCCCCGGCCCGGCCCCGCGGAGAAGGCCTGGCCCCGCCCACACGGACGTCACCGGGGCTCTGCCGGGGACCAGGTGCCCCGCGTGAACGCTCCAAGTCCAGGCTGCTGTGACTAGAGCAGAGGTCGTCCTCGGGGTGGGGGGGGCAGCGACAGGGGAGGGCCCCGGGGATTTCTGGGCCCGAGCGTGAGTGTGGCGGAGCCGTGTGAGCTCCTCCTCCCTGGAGCGGCCTGGAGGCTCCGGTGGACCCCGTGTGCTGCAGGCGAGTGTCGGCCAGATGAGTGACCCCACAAAGACATCCAGGTGACAGGCTGACCGGCGGGGGGCAGGGGCTCTCGGGGGTCACTGTTGTGCCGTGACAGTGGCGCACACACAGCGGGAAGAGCCAGGACCTGTTTTAGGTGACGACAGCCTGTCCCGTTGTTCGGAGGGCGCAGGTTCAGTGGGGAGGGCAGCCGAGGGCTCCCCCAGTGTGTATGGGTTTGCTTTTGACCCTGAATGAAGTTGTTCCCCCCCGAGGCCCTGGAACCCCCTTCCCAGTCGCCATAGGTGCCCGGGGTGGGGGGCTGATGTCCATGGTCAACGCCAGAACTCTTGCGGCCACGGCGGACCAGCGGGCCTGGCTCTCAGCCTGGCAGTGGGGGCGGCGAGGGGTCGTGGCCGGGGCAGCATGGGTTCTGCAGACGCTGCGTCGGAGGCAGAGCCGGGTTAGAACCTGCGCGACGCGTCTAACGGAAGGGCCCCATGGCCACCCGTCCCCCAGCCACTGTCGTTGGAAGTGAAACCAGGTCTGCAGTCCAAGTTCTTTGTGGGCCGTGGAGGCGGCGCCTGGGGAAACACCCGGAATATTCTCCTCTTTCCTTCCTGCGGCAACTTCCGGGCCGTGACACTCAGAACATCTGGGCTTGTAGGGGGTGCCCGTGAGCTGTGTGGGCCAGGCTGGCGGCTGCACTGGTTGGAGGTGGTGTGTGCACGCACATGTGTGCAGCTGTACTCGTGTGTGTACATACATACAGGTCCACACAAGCACACGGGTAGATACATGTCCAAACATGTGAACAGTGTCTTCACACATGTACATGCATGCTGATGTAAGCACACCTGTGCACGCACACACGCACATGACCGCACACACAAGTGTTGATATGTTCATGCATGTGCACACACATGGCGTGTGCAGCATGTGCCTGTGTCCCTGAGAGATATTTTCTGCGAGAAGCTGCTGTTTCTGTGCACGAAATAACAACCTGATTAATGTGAACGCCGACCGGCCCTGCGTCAGAGCCGGTCAGAGGACGTGTCTCGGGGGAGGGCGCGCGCCCGTCCATGGGCTGGTGGAAGGGCCGCTCCTCCAGAACTTGGGGGGCTTTGTCTGCACCCAGCGACGGGGCGACTGGCTGCTACACGGACAATTCACACGACCTCCGGACGGACTCCCGCCGCCGACTGAAATGCCAGGGGCTTCCTCCCGCCGCTCCCACGTCATTTATTATGCAAAACAATGTTTTTGAAGCGTCAAGAACGCGGTGATTCCGTATACAAACGGTTAAAATCCCCGTGAGCACCGTGATTCCGGGCGTGTTGATGCGCTCACTCAGGACGAGGGACAGTGCGAGGCTCTGGGGTCACACCGGTGGCCCGTGGACGACCCGGCGGAAACGATGAACTAAATGCCAGAGGCGTCCCCGACGCATCTGGGGACGGGGTGTGCAAGGCGCCGGCGTCCCGCGGCGCCCCCCCCGCAGTGACGCGGGGGGGCTGTGTGTGACGGCGCGTGGCTTCTCTTCCCTCGGAGACGCCGCCGCCGCTGCGCGGGAACGCCCCTCGCCTGCGCCGGGAAGCGTGCCGGCCTCCGCGCCGCGCCTGCGGGAGCCTCCGTCCCGCCGGGTGGCGTCCGAGTCTGCTCGGGGCTGCGTTTCTGCCCCGTGTCGAGCGGAGCTCTGGCCTGGGTCCCGGCCCTCCTTTGTTCCACTCGGCCGGGGCGGAGGGTCCTCGCAGGGCCGGCTCCTCCGTGCCCCGGGGTCAGAACCGCGGCTCTCGGACGTGGTGGGCGGGGCCGGGCCGCGCAGCCTGGCCCCGGGGAGGCCCGGGCCCACCTGCGGCAGGGAGGCAGGTGGAGCTCGGGGCGGCGGGTCTGGGTCTGGGAGGAGCCCCCGGCCCCACGTGGGGAGACGGCCGCCAGGAGGGCGGGGCCCTGGAGACACGCCGGAAACGCCCGGGCTCCTGCGGGTGGAAAACGGGACCAGAGGTCGGGAGCTGTCCCCACTCCAGGCCCGCGGGCCGGCAAGCAAAGAGGACGGAGCGCGGAGGGGCGGACTCCCCGTGGAAAGTCGCTACGGGCGGAAGCCGAGGCTTCTTGGGGTGAGGGCTGGTCGGCTGGGGCCGGCGCTCGCCTGCTCCGCGAGCCCCGCGGCCGGGGTGAGGAGCGCCGGTTTCCCTCCGCCTGCCAACGGTGCTTTTCTTCTTTTTATTTATTGATTTTAAAGAAAGAGAGGAAGAGGGAGAGATATTGGTGTGTTGTTCCACTCAGTGATGCATTCATTGGTTGATTCTTTTTTTTAAAAGATTACTTATTTATTTTTAGACAGAAGGGAGGAGAGGGAGGAAGAGAGGGAGAGAAACATCCATGTGTGGTCGCCTCTCCGGCGCCCCCTGCTGGGGACCTGGCCCGCAACCCAGGCATGTTGCACGCTGCGAAGGCGAACTCCGCGGCCGCGGCGGGTGTGTCTGCGGCCCCGGAAGACGCGCTCAGGCCTGTGGACGGGACCCCATTTGGAAACAGGGTCCCTGCAGCCGTGAGGAGGTTGAGATGAGGTCGCACTGGACTGGGGGGGGGGTCTATGTCCGGTGACTGGGGTCCTTGTAGGAAGAGAGGCACCATGACGCAGGGAAACCTCAGGTGACAATGGATGTGGAGACGGGGTGACACCCGCACCAGAGGCTGGGTTGGGGGCAGGAAGGGCCCTCTGTGCGGCCACCCGCCTCTTCCCTGCTCCCCGACTTTCTGCGCCCCATGACACCCCCTTCGCTGGATCCTCACCTTTTAAGATTTAGATTTTATTTATTTTTAGGGAGGGAAGGGAGGGAGGGGGTGAGAGAGAGAGAAACGTCAATGTGTGGTTGCTGGGGGTTATGGCCTGCAACCCAGGAATGTACCCTGGCTGGGAATCGAACCTGGGACACTTTGGTTCCCAGCCCGAGCTCCATCCACTGAGCTACACCAGCCAGGGGAGCCTCACCTCTTTTGAGGATTTTTCTGTGGCTCAGTCCCCTGCTTTTTTTTTTTTTAACTTATTTTTAGAGAGAGGGGTGGGCGGGGTGAGAGAGAAACGGCAATGTGTGGATGCCTCTCATGCGCCCCCTACTGGCGACCTGACCTGCAGCCCAGGCCTGTTCCCTGACTGGGAATCAAACCGGTAACCCTTTGCTTTGCAGGCCAGTGCTCGATCCACTGAGCCACACCAGCTGCGGCGTTGCTGCCCACTTTTAAAACCGCTTTCCGGCGGCCTCCGCCTGAACGCTCTGGCGGCGGGACTGGCGCTTGCTCACCGGAATCCCCGAGGCCTCCGGTTTGAGGTGGTGCTCCCAGGAGGCACCGAGGAGACGGAGGATTGAAGGAAGAACCGCGTTTGCGGGGGAACCTCCCCCTCCCGGAGCGAGGGGGGCCGTCTCCCCGAGAGCCAGGCTGGGAGCAGCCCCGACCCTACTGCCGTTCCGGGGGCTCCGGGGGCACGTCGGCTGTCCCGCGCAGGGTGGTGGGAGGGCAGCCCACGCCGCCAGGCCCTGCTCCCCCAGCGGTTTCAGGAGACGGGAGGGGACGTGGAAAGGGCCCCGCAGAGGGTGTCGGGCTCCATGGCCCAGCCTCCCTTATGGGTGAGGGGACACGGGTCTTGGGGGTGGGGAGGGGCCGGCGGGAAGAGGGACGTGTGTCCCCCTGTCCCCGGGCCCCCCAGTCAGGCACAGTGCGGGGGTGGGATGGGCACTGCGTAGCCACGTCGGGGCGCAGCAGAGCGGGGCGGGGCGGCCGGGGAGCAATCCGGCTCAGCCTTATTAGCAACATCGCTCACCCTCTGTCACTTCCCAGCGCCTCGTCCTTGCTGATTTATTTGCTGAACCTCAGGCCTCATCACACCCACCAGCTCTGGCGGAGACGGAGCAGGTCAGTCTGGCTGGCGGCTCTGACCCAGGACGACGTCCCAGCCCTCAGACGCTTCTGCTGCTCTGGGTCGGCCTGACCTGGCCTGGCGGCCGGAGGGAGCCGCGGAGTCCTTCCCTGTGCCCGCCCGACCCTGCCCCCCCTCCCCTTACCCCTCCCCCCTCCCCGGTGGTGGGGCCTGCGCTTTGCGGGGAGAGACAGTCACCCCAGTTGTTTGGGGCATCGTCCCCCACCGCTGACTGCGGGAACGCCGGCCCCCAGGTGTGAGTTGGTGTGAAAAGCTGGGGAAGACGAGCAGCTGCTGAACAAGGGGCACACCTGGTCCGCGGCCCAGAAGCCGCTCGTGCAAACAGACGGGGCTGTCCGTCGAGTTTTCGGGAGTTTCAGGGGCTGGCTGGTGAACGCAGCCACTGGTAAAAGGTAAGCTGCAGCCCTGGCGGGGGGGTTCAGCTGTCTGCAGCGTTGTCCCGCAGACCTAAAGGTCGTGGGTTCGAGCCCCGGTCGGGGCGGGTACCGGGAGCCACTGATGGGCGTTTCAGATTGATGTTCCTCTCTCCCCCTAGGCGCTCAAAACGCCTGGCCTTCTCGTGGCGACCACACCCAGCCCTCGTTCTCGAGGGTCCCTCGCGTGACCTCAGCGCTCCCCACGACCGAGGAAGAACGGGGGCCGCCCCTGGACGCCGAGGCCCACGCCCAGGCCACGTGCGGACGCCCAGGGGAGCCCGCTGCGCCCCCTTCCCCAAAGAAAGAGCAGCCGGTGCGAAGCAGACGTTTAATCAGCACGAGGAAACGCGTTTCTGTGGCTCACGCCGCAGGGCCCCTCCCGGGGCCGACGCCACAGGTCGGCCTCTGCGCCCCGGGCTCTGGGGGTCGGCGTCGTGAGTCACTCGGGTTCCAGACGAAGAGGACAACTGAGGGGGGGGACTGCGGCTATAGTACAGCGGACACACAGGCGAACCGGCAAAGACACGACAGTGTTTTGGCACCTTCCTCCCCGTTCTGCGGGCCCCCGTCTGGCCTCTCCTGCTTGGGCGGCCCCTCTGCTCAGAGGGAGGGGCATGGTGACAGCGGGGGAGGGGGCGGAGCCTGAGTGAACCCCAGGCCCGCCCTCCTAGAGCGGTCCTTCCGAGCGTGAAGGAGTAACTGTTTCCAGGGTGTGTGTGTGTGGGGGGGCCTGTCTGACACTCACGTGTCCTGTGGCAAACGCTGACCACCTCTGGCTGCTCACGTCTGCGTGGGTCAGGCCGGGGGCTGACCCCGGAGGAGGAGGCCCCCCCACCCCCAGCCTGTGGCCATGCTCTCAGGGCGGGGAGGGGTGTGCCGTGGGCACATCCCCGCGCGCTGGTTCTGGGCGCGGGGAGCAGTGTTTCCTCTGGGCGCCAGCAGGGCCCGGCACGTCCCCGGGGCCCACAGTGCCCCCCACTCCTCCTTTTCCACCGCTGCCTGCCCCCCCCCCCCGCCCCGCGCCTCTGCCCATCGAGGGGGCGGGGCGGGGGCGGAGCTGCGGGCAGTGGGCCGGGAGGCTGTCAGCAGCCCGCACAGGAGGGGGGTGGGGAGGCACAGACGTTCGTCTCTTTATCTGCCCCAAAGCTGTGGAACGCCCGCCCTTCTGACTCCTGAAGAGGCCAGTGGTTCCTGGGGGATGACCCTTCCTAGAGACAAATGGCAGACGTGTCCCTACGCCTAGGGGCCTCCACGGGCCCCTCCGCTGGGCCATCCGCCCCAGGAGGGTATAGGTCACCGGCCGGCCCCTCGGCATTGACGCAGCGTGGTTCGCAGGCGAGAGTGCGAGTTCAGCGTTAGGGAAAACGAAGTTCTTTCCGGGACAGTGAGCGCAGACGGGCCGGTGCCCCGGACCTGGCTGTGCCCGCACGCCTCTCGGTTTCCTCGTTGGGCCGGACGAAAATGCACGTTGCCACTGCTAACTGTGGGGACTACGGGGTCTGGGACCCTGGCGGGAGGCAGGCTCAGCGACAAGACGGGAGGACAGTGCGTCCCGGGGAGGGCGCGGGCGGCGCGGCGCGGGGCTCACTGGGGCAGGGCCTTGAGGATGGCGTTCACCTCCTCGGCCACGGCGGTCAGCGCGAACTCGAACTGCTCCTGCGGGACAAGCGAGGGAGGCGGTGAGGGGCGGCTCGGGGGGCGACAGACAGGCGGGCCAGAGGGGCCCACTCCCCTGGGGCTCCCAGTGTGGCCGCGTCCCCCACTCCACAGACACAGGCAGAAGGACGCAGGCGAGGGAGGGCGGGGTGGGGGGGGCGAGCACTGACCTCCCAGCGACCCCGGTCCCTGCCCTGTGCCGGCCTGAGCTGGGATGCGGGAAGGTCTGAGGGGCACTTGGATGTTACTTGCATTATCTCTGCCATTTTTTGCAGGTGTGAGATAATTGCAGAATAAAGTGTATAATTTTAAAATAAAAAATCTTTTAGGAAACCATGTGGGTCTTAGCATTCAATGTCGTTCCCTACGGACCCCATAAGATGCCCTGACTGCCCGGCGGGCACAGGCCAGGCCCCTGCTGGGGGGCAGGGGCAGGGCCGCAGCCCTGAGCTCCCTGGCGGTGTTGCTGGGGGGTCCCCCCGCCCCCCATCGTGTGGAGGCAGGAGCAGGTCGTCCCCTCTCCCGCCCGGGCTGACCCCGTTGGAGCAGGACCGGCCTCATGCGGGACGCAGGTGTTTCAGGGGACGATCCTCCGGTCCCACGGCTCAGCCACGCCTCACAGGGCCCTTGCCGCTCTGTTCTTGGCAGGACGAGTGTCCCGCTCCCACACCACTCCCTTCCCGCTCCCACATGGAGTCCTGCGGTTTGTTTCCGCTCTGACGCTGGACTGAGAGAAGGGGGGCCAGAGAGCCGCCCCCACTTCAGGGGGAGCATGGGGCTGGCCCCAGCAGGCCCCCAGCAGCACCCAGAGGTGACCTGGCAGCTGGCTGCCAGGGGAGCACTTTTGTAGCCAAGTCCTCAAATCGGAGCCGCCACCTCGCGAGGACGCCCATTAAGGACGGGGTCTCTGTGTGGGCGGCAGCAGCCGCAGCAGCAGCAGCGCCCCCGAGGGGAGGGCCGGGCTGGCCGAGCTCGGGAAGACTCGGCACCTGAGGACTCGGGCGCCCGAGCGGAGCAGGCGTGTGGGAGCAGCTGGGGACACGTGTGTTCCCGCCATGGCCACCGTCCCCCCATTCCCAGTTCTGGTTCCGCCACGGCCACCGTTGGTCTCGTCTTACCCGGATGACGCCAGCTCGGCCTGTCCAGCGAGGGTGCCCATGAGCTACGGGGGCGCGCAGGGACCCCGGGGACACACATTCCGATGGCCCCCGTCCAGACAACCGCACAGCAGGGCTGTGGGTGCGGGAGCTGGGAATCCGGGGGATTGGGTGGAATCCAGAATGTTCTCCCGCAAGGGGGCTGGGGTTAGCAGTGACCACTTTCCATAGAAACCTGGGGTGCCCCCCGAATCTGGGGATGGGGAGCTCCGGCTGGGTGAGCTCCCCTGACGCCTCCATTTCGTCACCACACCGGGGTTGCGGGGTCCTCCCCGGGAAGGGGCCAGGCCGGGGGGGGGGGGGACAGAGTCCTGCTGCTCCCCCCCCCCCCCCCCACCCAGGTGAGTGCCCCAGGGGCCCTGGGGGTCTGACAGTACCTTTGTCTGGACCATGCCGGGCCTCTGGTCCCTCAGGTGTTCCAGGGTGGCGGCGATGTCGATCTCTTTAGCGCCTGCAACACACAATCGGGGCCGAGCTCGGACCCGGGGCCGCCCCTCCTGCGCCCGGGCCTCTTCCGGCTGAGAGGCCGGGGGCCGCAGCTGTGCCCCGGGGCCCCCCCCCGCAGAGACTCGGGCAGGGGCTGCGGGGCCGGGGACTCAGGAGCCCAGGCTGAGAGGCGGCTGCCCGGTGCCTGCGCCAACACTTACCGGCAGCCGGCCACCGCCCCCGGGACATAAACGTATGTGTAGGCATTTTAAAGACTATTTTAAATCGCAGTAAGTACCGTACGGGCTTTGATTTTGATTGCGTAGGGTTCCCCCCCCGCCCCAACTTAGAGAAATGAAAAATCAGACTAGTCGAATCGATGACTTTGGCTTTGAGCTGCAGCGTTCTCTGCCTTTGAGGCTGCGCGTCCCAAACGTCCCGGAAGCCCCGACCGGGGACGTCCGGCCAGGGCGCCTTCCCGGGGGCGTCTCGCGCGGCCCACTGGGCTTCGGGGAGGCAGCTCCGCCGGGGCGGCGAGCTCCAGCCTCGTCCGTCGAGAACCAGCACAGCCCTTTGCTCGTCCTTCTGCTGACCCTGCCGGGAGCCCGAGTTCGCCGCTCACCGGGCACGGAGGCCTGCCGGCCCGCCGTACGCGGGAGCGGGGGACGCGGCGGGAGCGCGCTCGGACCCCTCACCGAGCCCCAGACGCACTGTGCACGCAGCACGGCCCCTGTCACCATCGAGAGGAGGGGCGGCCGAGCTCTCCCCGGCCCGGGGTTGACAGCCTGTCCCCGGTCACGTGGAGCAGAGGGGCAAGTCCCCGAGGCCGTGGGGGGAGACCCCGGGGGAGGTCCACTCACCCCCTTAGACACAGACTCAGGAGAATGAGTCGCTACGGTCACATGCTCTTCAAGCCCCCAGTCCAAGGGCTTATTTCAGTGGAACTGAGCCGCTGCCGTGGACACAGAGGCAGGAAGGGACGGGGGTCCCGGGGAAATACATGCAGACCCAGCGCTGCCTCTGCCGGGGGGGCGGGGCCAGCGGGAGACCGGCCCCTGAGCTGAACCCAGCGGGCGTCCTGCCCGAGCCCCGACCTCCGGGTCCCCAGGTCCCGGTCCCTGCGTGGGGACGTCAGGGTGCAGGCGTCCCCCAAGTCTGCGAGAATGGCACTGGGCCTGTCGTGAGCTCCCGGGGAATGCCAGGGACCACGGGCCGCGGGGGCGGGGACACGGAGAGCCCGCCCACTGCACGCCAGGAAGGAGAGGAGGCCTCCCCTCGGGCGCCCCGCGGACCTCAGCCGAGACTCCGGCCTGCAGCAGCAGCAGGTGTGGCTGAGGCCCGGCTCCTCCTCAGGTGTTAGCAGTTCTGGGAGTGGACCAGGCCACAGGGAGTGTGATTTTGTTTGAAAGGGGAGTCTGTAAGTTTATTTTTAAATTTTTAAAAAAATCCTTACCCGAGGACATGTTTATTGATTTTAGAGAGAGAGGGAGAGAGAGGAAGGGAAAGAGAGAGAGAGGATTTGTTGTTTCACTTATTGACGGAAAAATATTGGTTGTTCCATCAATATTGGTTGATTTTAGTATGTGCCCTGACCAGGGATCAAACCCCCAACCTTGGGGACGATGCTCCAACCAACTGAGCCACCCTGCCAGGGCAGGAGTGTGTGAGTTTAAAACAGTCAGAAACAGCCCCAGCTGGTGTGGCTTAATGGATTGAGTGCCAGCCTGCGAACCAAAGGGTCACCAGTTCAATTCCCAGTCAGGGCACAGGCCTGGGTTGTGGGCCAGGTCCCCAGTAGGGGGCACATGAGAGGCAATCACACATGATGTTTCTCTCCCTCTCTTTTTCCCTCCCTTCCCCTCTCTCTAAAAGTAAAATGGATAAATAAAATCTAAAAAAACCACAAAAACCCATGGAATTAATTTCCGGCCAAGATGGAGGCGTAGGTAGAAACCCTTCACTTCCCTGCACAACCTAAAGAAGAATAACAACCAATCTAAAATCAATAAACAACCAGAAGTGCCAGACAATCAAACTGCATGGAACTCCAGCAACAAAGGAATGGAAGAAACAGTCGACCAGACCAACCAGACTGGTGCACCAAGACAAAGAAATACGGCCAAAATGAGAGAACAGAGCAAAACTCCAGAAAGGGAGCTAAGCGATGAGGAGATAGCCAACCTATTGGATGGAGAATTCAAAGTTCTGGTCATCAAAATGCTCACAGAACTGATTGAGCTTTGTTGCAAAATGAAAGAACAAATGAAAGATACCCAAAGTGAAATAAAGCAAAACATTCAGGGAACCAACAGAGACAGGAAGGAAACCAGGACTCAAATCAATGATTTGGGACAAAAGGAAGAAATAATCATCCAACTAGAACAGAATAAAGAAACAAGAATTCAAGAAAATGAGGAGAGGCTTAGAAACTTCCAGGACAACTTTAAATGTTCCAACAACTTAATCATAGGGATGCCAGAAGGAGAAGAGGAAGAATAAGGAATGGAAAACTTATTTGACTACATAATGAAGGAGAACTTCCCCAATCTGGAGAAGGAAATAGACTTCCAGGAAGTCCAGGAAGCTCAGAGAGTCCCAAAGAAGTTGGACCCAAGGAAGCACACACCAAAGCACATCGTAATTACATCACCCAAGATCAATGTTAAGGAGAGAATCGTAATACCAGCAAGAGAAAAGCAGACAGTAACCTACGAAGGAGTTCCCATAAGACCATCAGCTGATTTCTCACAAGAGACCTTACAGGCAAGAAGGGGCTGGAGAGAAGTATTCCAAGTCAGGAAAGGCAAGGACCTACATCCAAGATTGCTCTATCCAGCAAAGGTTTCATTTAGAATGGAAGGGCAGATAAAGTGCTTCTCATATAAGCTCAAATTAAAGGAGTTCATCATCACCAAGCTCTGAGTATATGAAATGTTAAAGGGACTTATCTAAGAAAAAGAAGACAGAAAATATGAACAATAACTCACAACTATCAAAAAATGAACCTAAAAAAAAAAGAAAAACAACGAAAACAACAAATTAAGCAAACAACCAGAACAGCAACAGAATCAGAGAAATGGAGACCACGCGGAGGGTTCTCAGTGGGGAGGGGGGCGGGCGGGGGGGGGGAAGGTACAGGGAAGCAGCAGCATGAAGTGCACAGGGAGAGACTCAGAAAGGTACAGGAAACAGAGAAGCCAAAGAACTCGTGTGTACAACCCGTGGACATGAACTAAGGGGGGGTGCTGGAGGGTGAGGGGGTGCAGGGATGAGGGGGGACAAAGGGTGATAAAGTGGAAAAACTGTGATAGTGTAATTAATAGAATATACTTAAAAAACCATGGAATTAATGACCATACGGCCCAGTCGTCCCCTCCGGCACGCACCCGAAAGAACGGGGGCCGAGCCGGACAGACGCCCTCGTGCAGCCGGGAGGCGGACAGGGCGGCGCCCACTGACAGGCGGACGGACCGACCAGACGCAAACCCGTCCATCCGCAGGGAGGGGTGTGATGCAGCCTCACAGAGGAAAAACCCGTCGCAGGCTGTGCCGTGGGCGAGCCTGGAGGACACTTGCTGAGGGAAACGAGCCGAACACGGAGGACAAAGGCTGTGCGACCCCACTCCTGGGAGGGCCCGGAGTCGTGGGGTCCCGGAGACCGTGTGGGCGGAGGAGATGGGCGTCCCGTACACAAGGGGACGCTGGCCGAGTGACAGAGGGGACGGAACAGGTCAGACGGCTGAGATGGGATGGGGACCTGGACACCCCCTCCCCCAAGCTCCCCGCCACGCCTCCGCGGCAACAGCACCCTCCGCATCCTCCTCCGGAGCTTAAAAGGCACCTCCAGGCACACCTGCGCACACCTCAGGCAGTCACAGGGAGTCACGGTGACGCACACCACGGAGGGAAACTCCAGCCCCTCCCGCCTGCCCACACCAGACACCGCCTCCCCCGCACACTGAGCTTTTGGTGCCTCCCGGGGGAACCTGGGGCGCTCTACCATCCGTTCCTAAAATAAAACAAACAAACAAAAACCCCGCGGCGAGAAAAACAAAGCAAAACCCCAGTAGAGACGCAGCGGAGACCCGTGAAAAGCCGGGCCTGGGAGAACGCCGAGGCTGCGGAAGGAGAGGGCCGAGCCTTTCCGGGGAAGGTGGGGGGAGGGTGGGCTCCCCGGACGCCGAGAAACACCAGTTCCGACGCGGGTGTCGGCCCCGCCCCCGCAGCGCAGCCCAGAAAAAGTCCGCCAGGGACCCTCCGGCCACAAGCCCGCGCGGCCGGCCCGTGGGCTGTACTAGCCGCCCGCTGGCTCAGAACCTGGACCGGAACCACCCCTGGGGCATTTCTCAAAGGCCCCTGGAGCGGCCCCAAGTCCCTAATCCCCGGAGGCCCTGTGAACCGGGCCTCGCCCTCCGCCGGGCCGCGCTCAGAAGGGGCCCGGACCGGGCTGGGCCACGAAGGCTTTGCAGAGGCCTCCTTTGGTCCGCGTGCAATTCACTCCTTTTCAGAAAAGGAAGCGGGAAGAAAGGGTCGGGCTCTGGGCCTTTGATCGCTGGATGAGCGCGGGGTCTGCGCCCGGCCTCCGGGTTCTCAGGCCAGACAAAGGCGCGGGGCCGCGGCGGCCGGGCGCGCCGGAGCCAGAACAAAACCCCGGCGGCAGCTCGCGGAGGCGGCCTGGGAAAGGGCCCCTCGCCGCGGAGGGGCCGCCCTGCCCTTTGATCTCTCCCGCGGCTGCGGCTGCCGGGGGTCAGGGGGTTTGACCCCGCGGGCGGGCAGAGGGGGCAGATCAGGAACAGAATGGGGGTGACGGGGCTCAGAGAGGCCCCGGGACGGCCCTCGCGGGCCGGTTCCGCGCGGCTGGGCTGGCGCAGCACGACGCCGGCCCACATTCCTGACGGAATCTGGCAGGGCCGGTCCCGGCCAGCGGACCTGAGCCGCCGCCGTGAGGACACGGCGCCGCCGGCGCGGGCCCTACGACCCCGGTTCCCTCCCCCCGCAGGGCGAACGCGGAGGTGGACCCGCAAACACCGAGACTGCGTGGGCCGCGCCCCGCCGTCTCCTCCCGCAGCTGCTCTAGCGGGAGGCAGAGGCCGCGCGCGGGGCGGGCGGAAGGCACGGGAAGAACCACAAGCTCCATCGGCGCTCCGAGCCCCCGTCTGCACGTTCCCGAGGGGAAGGCGGATTTGCGCGGGCGGGCAGGGGACCCAGGACCTTCGCAGGACCACATTCAGGGCCGCTCCTCGGTCCGGGACGGAACGTGCTAACGGCGGGGGCGGAGGGTGGGCGTCCGTGCTGTTCCTCTCTGCGCTCACGCTCACGGCCAGCACGCAGCCGTCGGGGGCTTGCAGTAACCTTTGAGGGAGGAAACCCCCTTCTGTGCTCCCCAGAGGCGGCTCGGGGCAGCTGGGTCACCCCGCGGGGCCGGGGGCAGCGCCCTCCGAGGAGCTCCCGGCCCAGGCACTGGGTGGCTCCTGCAGACTCTCCAGTCCTTGCATTTGAAACAGCAGCCTACGGTCTTGTCTTCACACATCTGTATCCTTGGGCTGACCATGGGCTCTATTTACTTTCTATTTTTTCGTTTTTATTTAAAAATTTTTTATTTCTTTATTTTGAGAGGGGAGAGGGAGGTACGAAGAGAGGAGAGAAATATTGATCAGTTGCCTCTCACCCCCCCCCCCCACTGGGGACCTGGCCCGTAACACAGACATGTGCCCTGACTGGGAATCGAACCGGTGATCCTTTGGTTCGCAGGATGCACTCAACCCACGGAGCCACCCCAGCCGGCGCCTGTTTATTGTTTTAACTGGAGAGAAAGGGAGTCCGGGACCGGCCAGTCTCAGGGTGGCTGGCCCGCGGGGGAGGGTGTGTGGAGGTCAGCGCTGTGGTCAGAGTCAGGGCCAAGGGCACCTGGGGCGTGGGCGGCACTGCGGGCGCCTGTGTGTGCTGAGGCTGGGCCCTTTGCTCACGGCGGAGAGGGGCCACGGTCGCCTCATCGCGGCCTCACTGTCCCAAGCTGCAGGGGACGCGGACGGTGTCACGAGAAGACGGTGTCTCCCGGGTGCGCTGGGAGATGCTGGGTCACGGGATCTGCAGGAGCACCCCCAGCCCGGGCGCCCCCCCCACCCCCAGTCTCTGTGCTCCCTGAGGCACAGGGGCACCCGAGAGGCGAGCCACTGGCCCCTCTCCCGCGGGATGCTGAGCGCCTGGTCCCTGGGGAGACGCGCACGGTGGGTCCAGGGGCCGAGCGAGGGGCACACGGCACACGGCCTCACTGACAGACGGACACGGGGGTGCAGAGCGGCATGGGAGAGAAGGTGGCTGAAGTGCGATGGCTTTGCCACCAGAGGTCTTAGGTGGGTGTGTCTAGGGTGTCCCTGCCAGCACGGCTGTGACAGGGAAGGTTCACCCCGAGACGTGGCCAGGAGGCTCGGAGCTGCCTGTCCTCAGTTCCGACGCTGTGTCGAGCGTCCACCCAGGGGCGAGCCCGGTGCTCACGCCAGCGCCGAATGCGGGACCAGGTGGGGAGCTGGGGTGTCACCGTGCTGGCTGCCAAGGGCTTCCACAGGGCTCCGAGGAAGGGCAACAGTGGCCGAGTCTCCCAAGGCCCCGGTGAGCGTGGCCCCAGGTTGCCGTAGCAACGCCACCCCCAGCGCGGCGCTCTCACCTTTGGCCATCTTGTTGAGAACCATGTCGATCAGGATGTAGGTGCCGCTCCTGCCCGCGCCGTCGCTGCCGACAGAAGGGGAGAGGTGAGGAGGCCGCCCACGCCGCTCGCCCCCCGCGGCCGCGCCCACCGCAGCTGCTGCCTCCTGAGTCTGGGGGGCTCGTGCCGGAGCGCGGCTGTGGGGGAGAGAGAAGGGGAGAGGGTGGGGGAGGGGGAGGAGAAAGGAGGACAAAGAGGAAGAGAGGAGGAAGAAGAGACAAGAAAGAGGAGGAGGAAGAGGAGGAGGAGAGGGAGGAAGAGGAAGTGGAGCGGGAGGAAGTGGAGGGGAGGAGGGACCGGCAGAGCCCCACCCCCACCCCCACCCCCAGCAGCGCAGATCAGCCCCTGTGCCTGCGTAGGCTTGTTTTTTGTCCTTTCTTCCCCTCTTTGACCAAACAGATGGTAAATTTTGTCACAAAAGAACAAAAGCAGGGATTCCAGGCCGTGCCGAGCGGACGCCATCCTCCGTGAGACGCGTCACTGTGCGGCGGAGGCGGGGCGGTGGGCGTCCACGTGGGACGGGGGCCCGTCGCCACGGCACAGGGGCGCACCCCGGCTCTCAGCAGGGGGCGCTCTCGCCCCTCTGCCCCGGGTCACCCCTCCCGTCCCTGCACGACGCGGTGCCCGGAATGCCTGGCACCTGGACCGGCGCTGCGGCCGCGTTCGGAGCTGGGCCCCGGCACCCGACGCGACAGAAGATGAGGGCTGTTTCTGGGGGACACGCAGCCCCAGCACCAGGCTTTTCTGTGCAGACGTGTGAGCCCATCCTGTCCCCACAGCCGCGGCCCCGGAGGAGCCCGCTGCCTGCGCAGGGCCGTTCCCCCCGGGAGCAGCTTCAGACATGGGGGGCGGTTTGCACCCACTCCCCCGACGTGGAGGAGGAAGCGCCAGCGCCCTGCCAGACCTGCGGGCCCCAGGGGCTGCTCTCGGCCTCGGGTTTGGGGGTGGCCGGTGACCCTGAGAAGCCACCGGTGAGCCTGGAGGTGGCTCTGTTACAGTCAAGACTCGCCGCGTCCGGCTTTCACGAGTTTTCCCAAACGGACGGACGGGTGGTAAGGAGCTGCACGGGGGTGGGTGGGGGCGGCTGGTCTGCTCCGCGCTCCCCGTGCCCGACCTGCGCCTGGGGCTGGGGACGTGCGGAGAGCGGGTCGCCCCCCAATCCTCCATGAGAGCAGGGACCCTGCCTGCCGCGGGGTGTGCTCACGGCTCCCACACACGCACTTCACACGGACACTTCGGGAGCGGCCACAGAACCTCCCGAGGAACCGCTGCCCGGCTCAGGCGCTCGGGGTAGAACCAGACCCGTTCCGACTCCGTGGAAACCAGACCGTCTCCGCTCTGTCCGTGTTCTCATGGACACGGAAACACGCTGACACAGACTGACAGACACACAGACACATATGCACAGACACAGATACAGGGCACACAGACGTGTGCACACGTGTACCATGGCACACACACACACTCTTCTGGACTGAACCCAGGGGCTCGGGGTCCGACCTTTCGGGGCGTGTCCCGGCCAGGAAGGAGCGTTCTGCGGGCGGTTCTAGCAGACGGAAGAGGCTCTTTGCCAAAACGGGGCGGGGTGGAGGGGGCGCGGCCCTGTCCGGGCTGGCGTGGGGCAGCCCAGGGGCCCCTCCCCCCGCAACCTCGGGTGCTGTCCCGTTTGGGTGTGCTGGGGGCCGAGGCAGCGCAGAGGATTGAAAACGCTGTCCCCAAGCGCCTGTGCGCCGTCCCCACGGGGGTTGAGGAGAGACGGGGCGGCAGGCGTGAGCGTTTGGGAGCAGCGCCAGGACCGGTGCAGCGGCTCGTCGGGGAGAAAAGGGGTCGCCAGCGGGGGGTGTGCGGGTGGAGGGTCAGGAGGGCACTGCCTCCTCCGGCTCAGCGGCCGGGGAACTCGGCGGGAGGGGTGTCCACCCTTCCGGCGTCTCCGGGCCACACAGTCAACCCACAGACACTAACGAAAACTGGTGAGCGAGACAAAGGTGCTAAGGAATGCACGATCTGGGGTTGGGCCGCATGCGGCCCGAGGGCCAGGGGTCCGACGCCCCTGGTGGCTTTGGCGTCCTCCCGGGCACCGGGTGGGGGCGGTCACCATTAAAGCCGCAAGAGAGTGCGGCCCGCGGCCCGAGTGGCCGGCCCTGTCCCGAGGTCGCGCACGCTTGCCAATCCGCGCGGAGCGTTGTACTTGCCTGCAGTGAACAATTATTGGACAAGAGCGGCCCTTGTAGCACTTGCTTACTTTTCTGAAACAGAAAGAGACACAGGAATCACTGCCGCGCTCCGCGCCCCCCGCCGCGCCCGCCCACGCCGCCCACGAGCTGAGGCCGGCGCCGCTGCCACGATCGGGCAGCGGCCTGTCGTGACGAAGACAAATCGAAAGTGATGGACACGCTCAGATTTCTTTCCCCTTTCAGTGTCAGGCTGTGAAACGGAGCGTCACAAACGGTTCTTACACTTCACAGTTCTCGTTTCCCTTTGCGAGTGTCAGCTCGAGGCCTTCGGTCCACGGGCCCCCGGCATGTCCCCCGGGCCCCCTCCTCCTGTTCCCACGGCCCATTCCTCCCTTCCTTGGCTGTGACATGAGTGTCCAGGTTCTGCACTGAATTTTTTGAGTTTTGCAGCATCTGCTCCAAATTTCTGACAATCTAGACGTCATACGGGAGTGCAGTACTGCCATCCCGTCTCCCAGCGGCATCTCACAGAGACCCTTTCTGGTGTGTGGGTTTGGGAAGGACAACTAACTCCCGGAGAGGTCACGACAAATCTCCTCGTCTTTGTACACCTGGGGACGTGGCAACCAGCTCCACGGTGCAGGGTTCACGTGGGAATTTATGAAAATGAACGATGAGCACAGATTGGGATTTTGGAACCACTCCGAACAGAGGCAGACTTGAAGTTCAAGTACGAAATCCAGCCTCTTCTGAGTGAGGGAAACAAGGAAGCCTGTTCAGGAAGCGCATGCAGGTTCCCAGGGGAACCGTTCTGCGGCAGGAACTCGAGGGCGGCTCTGGGCCCGGGAGGGAGTTGTGGGCGGGGGGGCCGTGTCTGAGGTGTGCCGTCTGAACTTGGCCGTGGAAGACGTGCGGCCAAAGGTGAAAAAGAGTGAAGGGCCAGGCCACTCTTGTCCCTTGTCCCCAAAGCAGGAAGATGTCATGTTTCTTTGCAAAGCCTTGCCCGCCCAGCACGGAACAGCCGAGACTTAAAATTCTGTCAGCGGCTGCTCAGGTGCGAACTGTGTGAGCCCAGAGGATGGGGTGGGGGTTGGGCAGGCGCCCCAGTGGGGTGTTTCCTGCTTCCTCTGGGGAGGAACACTGGGGGCTTCTCCGGCCGGGCCTGCAGCCCCTGAGCAGACAGGCCGCCCCCCACACAGCCACGCGCACAGCTGCTCCGGGCGGCTCGCCTCGGAGAACAGGCGGCACTGGAAGCTTGTGGGCCACCCGGGGCCCCTGCGGCCACATCTCCATCTCTGCTGCAGGCTGTCCTTGCCGTTGGCGCGCGACCGTGAAGTCACGTTCGGGGCGAACGGGGCCAACGGTGGGGAAGGTCAAGGGGACTCATCAAGTCAACGGCACACGTGAGCCGGACGCCTTGAAATTCTTGGCTCTTTGGGAGGAAAGCAGGTTGGAAAACAGAACCACCTGCTTCTCCTAACACCTCCTACTCTTGCCCCGGCTGGTGCGGCTCAGTGGATTGAGCACCGGCCTGGGAACCAAAGGGTCGCTGGTGCAATTCCCAGTCAGGTCCCCTGTGGGGGGTGCAGGAGAGCAACCACACACTGAGGTTTCTCTTTCTGTCTCCTGCTCTTCCCTTCTGTCTAAAAATAGGTAAATAAAATCTGTAAATGGGATGTGAAGGCACCGTAAGCATTAATATCTCTGACCAGATACCACACCTCTGGAGTGTACCCTGAGTGAGAGCCCCTGCGTGTCTGTGCACATGCATGTACATGTGTGTCTGTGCCGTGCTCGTGTGTGCGCAGAATCAAGGAGGCTCAGCGACCGGACTGAGGCTAGGGTGGCACTCTCTCTACGGGTCCCTCGTTGCATACAGACGACTTCACTGGAAATTGCTCGGTCGCGGGCTCTTTCCAGTGGGACCCAGCGCGGCCGCACGCCTGCCGCTTTCCGTGCGACAGCCCAGACGCGCTGCTGGGGCCCACACCTGGCTTTCCCACGCGCGCACCCTGGTCCTCGACCAGGTTTTGGTCCTTTTTCACGAAGGGGCCAAGCACAAAAACTAAACACGAAAAGGAGTGAACGCAACCAGATGCCCTTCCTTCAGCCGGTGGCTCCAGACGCCGGGAGTCCCTCGACGGCGGCCCGCACCTCTGGGGCCAGCACAGTGTGAACAGCCTCCCTCCCCGGCTGCCAGGGGGCTCGACGTGCTCCCCAGGCCTGCCTTCCCCTCTCCGTTTTGTGACGCGTTCGAGAAGTTTCTCCCCCCCCCCCCATGCCCTCCCTGGCTGCCTCGGCAGCTCCGGCCGGGTTCTGCTGACATTTTAGCATCCACGCCTGCCTGGCCCACACTGAACCTGCTCACAAACCAGCCAGGAGACGGCAGGGCACACCCGAGGTGCTGCAGTGTCAGTTTATTTACAGAGAACCGCGTGCCTGGTTTTGGGTGACACAAACCCCCCCAAACAGAGCAGTGTTCATCTGGTCGACCCGAGAGCGCGGCAGAGCATTTGCGGTGACGGGCTGCGCCCGCTGCCCCCTCCTGCGCTGTCAGGACAGATCGTCAGTGAGCAGAGACCGCGCACACTCAGGGCCATTACTCGGGTGTCCTGCCGCAGGAGGACCTCACTGAGAAGGAAGGGTTAGTGACACAGGCCAAGCCCCGGGTCCCCGAGTGACGAGGAGCAGCAGGCGTGGTCAGAGGTCGTTAGAGGCTCAGAAAGGGTCCCCACACTGTCCCCTGCAGTACAGTCACAGTTTCCAATGATCACTTTTGTGACTATGCAACTGGGCTCATATTACTAGCTGCAACGTCACAAAAATGACACTGGCCACCGCTAATTAGCTGGCAAAGTAAGGGTTTGTCCGTGTTTACAGAGAGCAGCGCCCGTGGCCGCCGGGGCACGGAGCAGGGAGGCGCTGAGAGGAGCTTCTGCAGCGGAGCCCTCCAGTGAGACGCCGACGCTGGTCCTCTCTGCGGGGGCGGGGGCGGGGGCGGGGGCGGGGGCGGCTTCTCTTCGGAGCGGAAACGGGCTCTGGGACGTTTCCTGACGGCGCTGGTGCCTGCAGCCGCGCTGGCAGGGCGAGCAGGGCAGCGGCGCTGCTGTTCGCAGGAGGGTGACCCTGTCGGTGTGGGAGGGTGACCGGGCTCTTCCGAAGCGGCCGCACCTTCCCGAGCGCTGGGATCGAGAGCTTTGCACTTGCCTGCACGGAAAACCACTCGGCACCCCCCGTGGGCCGGTGTGGCGCGTCCTGAGTAGACCTGCTGGGTGGGCACCATGAGGCTGTAAAACTGCTTGGAGCTTCGTGCTCCCCTTCGGGGAACAAAGTCCGCCTCGAGCCCCACCTCCTGAGACTGGAGGGAGCTGGGGAGTCCATCTTCGCTCCCGAGGAATCGCCAGGGCGGAGAACGAATGCCACAGGCAGATACAGGCTCGGAAACATGCCCGTGTGTGCGCCTGCGGGCGAGCTCAGAGGAGCACACGGCCCGGGTGCTGGGGCATCCTCTCGTCGGGGCAGCCCTGTCTCCCTGCCGTGACGGCCGCTGTCTGAAGACTCTCGGGTCCGGTTTTGGACAGCGTGTCTTCCGGCGCAAATCTGCATTGAGGAGCCGCACCGGGCAGGAACGCCGTGTCCCCGCTGTTTGCGGGCACGTTTGGGGCTCTCCTCCGTGTCCCGCCGCTTCGGGGGAGGAGGTGGGGGAGACACCCGTGGACGTGACTCCAGGCGCCGGCCTCTGCTTCGGCCCCGGCACCCGCTGTCGGGTGCAGAGAGCTGGTCCCCTCAGAGACGGGCTTCGCTTTTCAAAGTGGACTAAACAGCGAGAGAAACGGCGCCACTGGAACCCAGGACTCGGGTCTGCGGGGCCCAGATGTTCGGCTGCGCAGGCTCAGGGCAGGGGAGCCGCCAGACGCAGACCCCACGGGCCGCGCGGGGTGCGGGCCACGGCGTCTGACCCGTCCGTCGCTCCGTCCCGTCTCCGGTCGTGATCCGACCCCCTCACCCGGTGCGTGTCTGGACGGCGCGAGTGAGAGGCTCCGTGACCTGGAACTCGGCGCCGCGCCCTCTCTGCGGGCACTTCCTCGCCGACCGACCGCGGTGGAGCTGCCGATGCTCAGCAGCAAACCGTCCCCGACTCTGACTCCGAAGTACCAGGGCCTGCGCCCTCCACTTCGCTCTGCTTGGCGTGGTCACCGTCTTCCCGTGCGACAGAGTCTCGCGTTCGCTCCGACTGCTCAGTAAATGCGCTGCACGTGGCTGGGGCTCGAACAGAGGACAGGTGTTTGCAAACCGTCGGCTTCCACGTTGCACTGAACACACTCGCGGCCGCGTGCTGAGGACCCCCAGTGTAGACCCTGGGGCTACGCTTGTGAAAGCCCCTCGCCGCAGCCGCCAGGGAAGCTTCCGGACGAGAGACCCGGGCTTTATTCGTGGGGATCCTGTGCAAGAGAGACCTCGGGACCTGTCTTTGCTCGGGGAGGCTTGTGGAAGAGGACGAGTGTGAAGCCCGGCACAGGGAGTGCAGGGAACAGCGCTGCAGGGCTGAGCACGGGGCCGGGCGGGGGCCGGACCTGCGCCAACGGACGGTAACGCGCACGGCAGCTGCGACTGAGAGAACGGGGGCGGCCGCATACTCCACGGTGCGGGGCCGCCTACGCCCGCCCGCACTCATGCCACCGCCTCTCAGACCTGCAGGCCTCTCGGGTCGACGTGTGGGTGGTGCGGCCTCCCTCCTGCCCGTCCCCTCGCCCGCCTGAGATGAGCGGAGGCTCCGCAACAGGACACAGAGGGCCGCCCCCCCACGGACGTGCCCCCGGCCCCGGCGCCGGCCCCCCCGCGCCGCGGCAGCCTCAGCGCGCGCACTGCCCGCCCGCGAGCGTGCCCCTGGCCCTACCTGCGGAAATCCAGGAGGGACCTCGTGGAGGACGGCACGCCCTGGTCATACCAGCTCAGGAAGTGGAACTGGGTCACTGTGCGCGTCTCGTTGGTCTGCAGGTTCTTCAGGTAGAAGCTCCTCACCAGGAAGTCCTCGCACCAGATGTGCTCGGAGACCAGGTTGACCTGCGGCAGGGCGGGAGGGTGGGGACAGACCGGCGTCGGCGACGACGCGGAGGCCACGCGGCTGCCACCACGGACCGACGTCCGAGGGCGTCCAGGCCCCTCCCGCTGTCCGTGTGGGCCAGGGCCGGCACACACGGTGACTCGTGGGGATGTGTGGCGTCGTGTGGGGGCACAGCAGTTGAATAGTTAGCAAAGCCCGTTCCAGTCGACCCCCTCCTGTCCTGGTCCTTTGTGCTTCCGGGCCTGTCTCCCTTCGGGAGAATCAGCGGACAGAACCTCGCTTTGGGACCCAAGGAGTGGGCTTCCGCTCCGGCATCACTGGCGGGCACCCCCGGGCCCGGGGGGAGGAACTGGGGTGGGGCGCAGGCCCTTCCTGGGCTGAGAGCCTTTGTGGGACCAGGAGCCACAACGGGGGGTGGGGGGGTGTTAGGGTTAACCTTTACGCTGTGGGGTGAGGGCTCCGTGACTAACTTTAATGTAGAGCAGAGCCCCGAGGTGGCTCCTGCTTTAGCAGCCCCAGGTTGCTGGGTCCGTCCTCGACGTGGGTGGGAAACCCAGCAGGAGAAACACGCTGCCGGCAGGTTCCCTCCAACAGAGATGCCGCCGGGGCCGGGGCCGGGGCAGACCCTGGCCAGGCGGACCCGCCAGCAACGGGAGTGACGGCAGGTTCGTTCTTTCTAGACAGCGACCCCGAAAGGGCCTCCTCCCAGGGCCTGGCTGGGCGGACCCCTGCTGGGTCACCTTTTCGTCCTTTCTGTCTACATTTGGATTCATAAAACTTTAAAAACGAGAGCCGTGCCCTGGCTGGTGTGGCTCAGTGGATTGAGTGATGGCCTTCGAACCAAAGGGTCACTGGTTTGATTCCCAGTCAGGGCACAGGCCTGGGTTGTGGGCCAGGTCCCCAGTAGGGGGCGCGTGAGAGGCAAGCACACATGGATGTTTCTCTCCCTCTCTCCCTTCCTTCTTCTCTCTCTAAAAGTAAATACATAAAATCTTAAAAACAAAAACAAAAATGAGAACTGTGCTGTTTATGCCAGGGTCTGGGTCCCAGCGGGGCAGCTGCTTGGAGGCCTGGGTGTCCCTGACCACGGGCCCGGGGGACGCCTGGCTCACGGGCTGGCTTCTGCGGGGACCTGGCTGCAGTGCGGCGGCGTGGGGCGGGGGCGGCCGGTACCTCGTAGACGTGGTAGAGGTTGGAGCCCTCGTCGGGCCAGTAGTGGTAGCACTGCCGGACGCCGTTCTCCGAGAGGGGGGTCAGCATGACGATGACCACGCAGCCGCTCTCCCACACCATCTGCACGAGAGAACGGCCGTGGCCGTGCGTGACCGCCGGGTCGCCATGCACAGACCTGCCCGGGATTACCGCAGTCACAGGGCACGGAGTCATCTCCATTAACAACCGCCGCCCTTCGAGGCGCTGAGCGCCTGGCCCAGTTTTGCACGTTCCACGAAGTAGGAAAAGGATCCAGCGAAGCCTGCGCCTCTTCAGACCTCCTCGGGGCCCAGCTCGGGAAGCTCGGGGGGGCGGGGGAGAGGGCAGGGGCAGAGCATCGTCGGGGTGTGCCAGGTCTGTGGACTCGCCTGGGGGTCTGGGGGGTCGGGGCGCGGGACTCAGCCCCTGCCGCACCGGTGGGTGGGACAGCACGCCGCTGCCTGTCTGCCTCCCCTCCCTCCTCTCCAAATCAGTCAATGAAAAACCAAACCTCCGCAGCGCCCATTCAGCCGTCCGACACCCCAGCTCTGCTCTGGGCAGGGCACTTTCCACAAAGACACGCAGAGCAACTCGGGCCGGCGCCGCTTGTGTTTCAGGGTGGTCGTGACCCCGTGGGACGCAGGAAGCGATGTCTGTCTCGCCGCGGGAAACCCGCCAACTCTTCCCCAAATGCAGCAGCGGGGCCGTTCCCAGGGAAACACCTCCCCCTCCGGGTGAATACTCCCTGACGGCCACAGTGAAGCAACTCCGCGGCCCGCACACGGCGAAGCGGCCCAGGCACCGGAGCCCTCCAGCCCGGCTCTCAGGGCCGAGCGGAAATGGGGTCCCCCGGGCACCGGGACTTCATGGGCCCCCGAGTCACGGGGAAGGGCACCCACTAACCCCAACCCGCAGCCCCCGCAGGGGCCACGCTCCCCCGGAGACGTGCACAAGCCACTGCAGTCAGATGCACGCGGAAGGAGAGAGCTGCTTTCTAGGGCCCCTGCGGACACCCAGTCACGGTCGCGCCGTGTGGAGAGCCCACACGCCTGCAGTGCAGACCACCACCTCTTCCGCGTGCGTGGGACTGAGCCCCCCACCCCGAGCCCCCCACCCCGTTCAAACCACGATGTGGAAGTCAGACGCGGCACCGTGTTTTTCCTCTTTGAACACTGACTCGTGTTCCCGCGGGACAGAGCTCGTGGGCACCCTCGGGCACCTCCCGGCGCACTGTTGACATCGGAAGTTAACGGAGCCTGCTGGCGTGTTTACGAAAAGCCCACGAATAAACCGTGGCCCGACCCACACGTGTGTTCTCCTCTGTGCGAACCCGGCGGCAAGGCAAGGATTGGGAGCCCAGGTCCGGGGCCGGGGTCCGGGCTTTGCCGTCTGCCGGCTAATGGGCCTGGCGGCTGCAGCCACGAAATGGGCCTTTGGAAGGAGCAGGGCTCATCGAAGCCATTACGAAAATGAGGAGAAACACAGACTTTATGAGTGTAATAAAAACACAATGATCGAGGCCATAAACTAATCACCCAGCACTCCGCCGGGCCGCCCAAGTGTGACATTAGCAAGCCCCTCACTTAGGGACGCTTCCAGGCGGGCGGCACCCTCCCATTCCGGGAGGGGGGGCCTGGCTCCACGAAGATCTGGGGGAGATTAAATCCAAATGAAACTAATTGAGGCAAACAACCCCAAAGGCGCACCTGGGGACAATATTTCTTTCCAGGTCACCGTGTGTAAGCGCAGAGAGGGGAATTCGCTACATGAGACAAGCCGGCAGCCTGCCTGCTCCCCGGCACGGGCGTCTGGAGTCCGGAGTCAGGGCCCAGCCCTGGCCCACCCTGCCTTCCTCCCAGGGCCCCGCCGGCCGGCTGGCAGCCTCCGCCGGAACGTGGGAGTGCCCGATGCCGGTGAAGATCCCGGGGAGCCAAGGTGCCATTGAACCAGGCATAGGTTTCGGGGTTTCCGTCTGCATGGCCTGGTTTATGCAGGGGGGTGCCCGACACTAGGGGTGCCCGGCCCTATCGGTGCGACAAAGCTCGGAGAAGTCCCGCCCTTCTCTTCCAGGACGCGGATGACGACCCAGAGTCCCCTCCTGACCTCCGTGCGGCCCACTGACCTCCGTGCGGCCCACTGACCTAGGCGGCTCCCGACTCGGGGGAGCTGAAGACCAGAAGTGGCGCCGGCCGGCACGTCCTGTCTGGTCAGATATCGGAGGACACACGCCCAGGGTCGACTGCTGGACACGGGGCACGTGCGCCGAGGCCCCCTGTGTGTTGGGACGTGGCTAAAGTGTGGCCACAGGCGTCCTGCCCGAGACCCCCTCCACTGGGCCTGAAGTGGGCGACTTTCCCCAATAGGAAACAGGGCTTCTCGCTGGGTCGCAGCAAAGCCACCGTCCTGGCCGGGTTGTCCCTGCGTACCAGAAGGTTGTGGGTTCGATTCCGGGTCGGGGTGTATACGGGAGGCAACCAATCAGTGCTTCTCTCACATCGATATTTCTCTCTCCCCCTCTTCCTCTCTCTCTAATATCAGTACGCATGTCCTCGGGGGAGGGTTTTTAGAAGCCGCCAACACATCGCACGAGAGCCTTAGTGTGGGGTCCCGAGGGTGCGTGAGTGGGGCTGTTTTGAAGACTCGGAGCCGCCCCAGGTTGAGACCTTCCCCTCGGAGGCGCGGCACGGCCTCTGGTGACTCCCGGGCTCTGGGCCCGAGCAGTGTCCTCACTGTGCTGCTCAGCAGCCGGGACGCGGCGGCTGCAACCTGCTGCTCAAGCCCGCCAGCCCGCCGAGGGCGGGCCGCTCACGGGCGGGCGAGAGAGAAGGGCCCAGGACAGCCGCTCCGAGGGGGGCCTGCGTGCGGGTCTCGGTGGCCAGCGCTGGAGACGTGAGCACGAGGGGGTCCAGGCCGGCGCCCGCGTGACAGGGAGCGCACCCCCGGGCTGCTCTCCCGCCCGACGGAGGTGGTTCCCTGACCGCCGACGAGAAGAGACCATGTTGCTCTTTGTTGCAGGTTGACTTTTGTCCCCCTGAAAGGACAGGGGACGTCCTCCCTGCTGGCACCTGCCAGGGGTCTTTGCGGACGAGACCCAGCTGGACAGGGGACATGACGCTTGGTCAGGCGGACCCTTGGCTGGGGTGGCTGGCGTCCTCCTCAGAACAGGGAGGCTCACACAGATGTGGTCGAGGAGCAGGGACGGGCTGCCGAGTGCTGGGTGGGCCTCCTCCCCCTGCAACGCCCCGATCTCAGGCTCCGGCCGCCACAACTGGGAGACGGGACATTTCTGCCACATTTGAGCCTCGAAATGTCCGTGCTGCTGGGAATGCTGTCGCGAGTTTTGCAGATCCAAGCAGGCGGGAAGGAGCTGTGGGGTGTCCTCATCGCCTGAGCGCCAGGGATTTAGTGGACAAAGCCCCACTGAGGCCCTGGCTGGTGTGGCTGCGTGGATTGAGAATCAGCCTGCGAACCGAAAGGTTGCCAGTTCGATTCCCAGTCAGGGCACATGCCTGGATTTCGGGCCAGGTCCCCAGTAGGGGGTGCACCAGAGGCAACTACACACTGATGTTTCTCTCCCTGTCTTTTCCCCTCCCTTTCCCTCTCTCTAAAAGTAAATAAATAAAGTCTAAAAAACAAAACAAAACCCCGCTGAGACCTGAGACGGTGGCCTCTCTCACGGGGTGGTCCTGGTCTCCTCTCACGGAGCCCGGGGACGTCCTCAGCAGCCTGTGGAGGCTCTGGCTCTGCCTCTGTCCCACGGCCCCAGGCTCTAGCCAGACCCAGACTTCGGGGCTGGTCACCAGCTCAGTGGAGGGTGGGGGTCTTCGCCTTCTCTCCTGTGCGTGCCTCGAACGCACCTGCCTGGCAGGTCGCCGGGCCGGGTGCGGGTGCCCAGAGCAGGGGATGCTCAGACCTGAGCTCGGCCCACCAAACAGCCTCCGCCTCATAGCAACAGACTTGGGGACGTTCCCTCAGCAGTGATTTTCCTCAGGTGAGGGGGAGGAACACTTGCCGTTTCCCTGGAATCTTTGGAGAAGACAAGCCCCCCTGCGGGCGTGTGGAGCAGACTCGGTGCTTGGCGTGAGCTCCCTACAGCCCGGACCTTCCTACGTGAGCAGCTGGCCCGGGACGGGGCGCTGAGCTGCGGCCAGAGGAGCTCCATGCGGCCTGGACCGCCTCCGGGAGGTCGGCCACGGGGGAAACTCAGCATCCTGGGTGGGGGTGGGGCTTGTCCTCAGACCCGTCCTAAGGCCGAAGTTCAACGGGTCCGCCCCACGATGGAGTCTGTTGAGTCTGACCGTGGAACCCGGGCACAGTCGGTATTTTCCCAGTCACGTGAAGGCAGCCCCACGGGAGAGGCCAGGCTCGCAGGCGGGACCCGGGTCTCCCGCTCACCGGCTGGGCAAGTCCTGTGACCTCTCAGACGATCGTGCGCCTGGCCCGCACTCGGGGCGTGATGCCTACGTGCCGACACCCCGACGAGGCCCGGGGCCCGGGTGGGACGAGGAGCGCGATCCTCCTTCAGGTGGAGTTGGGGGAGGCCGGTGGGCCGGCGGGGACAGGGGATGTGAGAGCACAGGGGAAGACGCAGCGCGGAACGTGAGTGTCGGACTTGAGCCGATCATCTGCTCACGCTCGTGTGCCAGGTCAGGGAAGGGCCCTGCGTCCGTGGCCCCAGACCAGGCTCCCTGGGTCGGCTGCTACGCCAGTTCCCGGTGCCCCAGATGCCGCGGGTGCCCCATCCACTCATCCACCCAAGCCGCTGTGCCCGGTGACACCTCCCACCGAGGGAGGCTCTGCACGCCCCCCCCCCCCACCACGGAGCAGGAGCTTGTTGTGTTGCTGAATAACGACATCGTGTGAGGGCGTCACCCCGGCCACCCTCCACACTCCATCCCCACCCAGCCTGGCCGTGGGGCGGCCGCAGTGGGGGGACGGCGAGGGAGGCAGGGACCCGCTGGCCCCGACTCGCTCTGAGCGGCCCAAGTTGGCGCTGGCTCTCAAAGTCTGGGCCGCGGTCCGGCCTCTGAAACGGAGCCGAGAGAACCCTCCCGGGAGAGGGACTGTCATCTGAGCACTGTTTTCCCATCACGGGGCGCGGCAGTGGCCAGGAGACGCATGTTAATACCGTGTCCTGATTGGAGCATCAACTCCATCTCCACACCCAGGGCGGCCTCGGTGCCCGTCCCGGCCTCGTCCCGGCGAACGGCACTCGAGCGCCGAAGCGGAAACCTCTGCTTCTCGGCAGGAGGCAGCGAGGGCGGGTCGGACGAGCTCGGAGGCCGGCGAGCACCGAGGCGCGACTGTCTTTCCAAAGGCGGGCTGTGCAGCGGCTAGAAAAGTGTCCCTGAATCTCTTGACACGATTGTTCTTCTTCCTCGGGTTTTGAAAAAGCGATCGATCGTACAAATGTTAAAGGGCCCTGTAAATTCTGGAATCACTCAAGATTTGCTGAAACCCGCCAACAAGCTTGAACCAGCTGCATCGAACCCAAGGCGTTACTCGCGACCAAGGTCAGCTCTCACTCAAAGAAAAGCGAGTGAATGAGGAGGACTCACCTGCCAGAAGTCGGCCACGGTGGCGGGCAGGGGCCCCTGGGTGGCGATGTACGCGGGGTTCCGGGGGTCGTGGTCCATCTGCAGAGAGCAGGGTCAGAGGGGCGAGCTCAGGAACGGTGGAGGCGAGGAAGTTAAATATTGGCGGACGGGGAACCCCACCCCGCAGGCCCCATTCACTCGCCCGGGGGCAGGCGGCTCACCTACCCCCGCCCCGCCGCTGACCCACCGACGGAGCCCGCATCCTGTCCCCGGGCAGGGCCGCATGTCTGCGGGGCCTCCCTTCCACCTGACGCGCAGGTGACAGGCGCAGCATCAGCGGAAGCGAAGCCCAGAGGCCGAGGACCAGACGCTGGTCAGGGGCCCCCTGTGCAGGCCGGGCCAGCAGGCGGTGTCTCCACGGGGGTGCGTGACCCTGGAGCCGGGCAGCATGGGCAGGGCGGGCGGCCTCCACGCTGCCTTGGAGGCGGGGGGGCTGGAGGGCGGGGCAGCTGCTCGTGGGGGTCGGACACGGGGCAGGGGGTGCGGGGCTGTGCTATGTCCTCCCCTGGGCCTGAGAGCTGGCGGTCACGCTGGCGGGTGCCCCGGGGGCTCCAGCGTTTCCGGGTCCCTGAGTGAACTGGACCCAGTGGGCCTGACGGGCCAGCTGGGCGACGTCAGGTCCCCAGACCCTGAGCTGCAGCCCCGCAGGGGCCGGCACCCCTGCCCTCCACCCCGGACACTCCCGGAGCCCTGGGCAAGGCTGGACCCTGGTGGAGACTAGTGACCTGGTAGGGACGAGTGACCTGATTGAGGCTGGTTACCTGGTAGGGGCTAGTTACCTGGTTAAGGCTGGTTAGCTGGTTGAGACTAGTTATCCAGGTGAGAGTAGTGACCTGGTTGAGACTAGTTACCTGGTTGAGACTAGTTCCTGGGGTGAGAGTAGTTACCTGGTTTGAGGCTAGTTACCTGGGTGAGAGTAGCGACCTAGTTAAGGCTCGTTATTGGTTAAGACTCTTGACCCAGTCAAGAGTAGTTGCCCAGGTGAGACTGATTACCAGCACGCTATCGCTACCGGCAGCAGGGCAGGGACGCGCTGCGCCCTGGGCAGGGCCGGCGCCCCTCTCCCCGCCCCCCCATCCCCCCATCCCCCGCAGGGCTGGGCACTCACCACGGGGCTGGCGTTGATGTAGTCCGAGCCGCTGTGGCTGCTCTCCGCCTTCAGCAGGATCCTGCAGTGGTCGTCTGCAAGGAGCCCAGAGCCAGGGTCAGGTCCTCGTGCGCAGCCCGCGCCGTGAGGGGGCCGCGTTGTGCGGAGGGACAGCTGGCCGGGCGGCAGCCCGCAGCCCTGTGTGGTCCCAGGGGTCTGCCCCGCCCCCGCAGGGGCGCTGAGAGGCACCGCCCGCTCCCTTTCTCCTCCTCGTGTGCCCCCACCCTCCGTCAGCGTCGGCAGGTGGGTCGGGCCGTGCGGGGACCCGACACTCGGTCCCCCTCGGGACGGCCTGGGCAGGCTCCTCTTCCTCGGGTCGAGTGCAGACGCCACGGCCCGCGCCTGCTGCAGAGCCTCTGCCCTCAATCGCGCTCGGCGACCGGTAGTGAGTGAACAGCAGCGGGCGTGTGGACGGACCCTCAGGCCGCCGCCCCGCACAAGACCTTTTGTCGTCCGCGGAGGGCATTGCTGTCGCCCGCGGTCACGGGCATTTCACTCAGCAGACGAGGAGAGACGGGGAGCGGCAGACAGGGCGGGAACCGGGAGGGGTGGGCCGCGGGGCCTCGCCCACACGCCAGTGCGCCTTCGCCAGGCAGCGCAGTCCGCCCGACGCTGGAGCAGACCCGCCAGTGGGACCGAGGACCCGCGGCCGCCACGCGGGTCACCCCGGAGTTTGGTTCCGGAACCCCCGCCCCGCCCCCCCCCCCCCCGCTGCGCCTGCGCCCTCTCCGCCGTTTCACGCCCCGGGGCGCGGAGACGGATGCGAAGCCCGCGGACACAGCGGCTTCGGGCGCCTGCACAGATTTAATCTGGAGAGGGGGAGAGTCGGCCGTGGTCGGAAATCAAAATAAAATTTACGAGAAAGAAAAAAGGCCACCTCGGACGCCCTGCCGCGTCCTACACACGGCCGCCTCCGGAGGCGGGGTCTGGCGGACGCGTCCGGCCTGGGGCGGGACGGCCGCGCCGAGGCGGGCGCCCCCCCTCCGCAGCGCCCACGGTCCCGCCGAGCGGAGTTGCGGAGGGAACCAGCGGGCGGGTCCCGGAGCTTCCAGAGCGTCCGAGTTCCGCCACCTCCAGTCGTCGGCTGGGTTTTGTGACAAGATGCTGGTGTTAAGATCAGCCGTGAGGTTGTTTAGTTTTTAGTGTTGGGCTGCCTGGAGCCGGCTTCGGAAGCGGCTGGAGCCGTCCCGGGTGACTGACGCTGGTGGGGGGGGTGGGCTCCCGCGGGGCGGGGCGGGGCGGGGCCGGGGTGCGGGCCACGCGGCTGGGCAGGTCTCTGGCCGGCTCCGCGGGTCACGTCTGCTGCTCCTCGTTCCTGACGAGACCCGATGGGGGTCGGTGTCCGGGCCGAGGTCGCCCTTGTCCTTCGTGGCGCGGGATGGAGCGCGGCCTGGCCGGCTGGCGTGGCTCCCTCGGGGCCGACGGGGGAGCTGGCGTGGCGTGGGCCCCTCCGCCCTCCGTCCTGGGCTCGGCTGACTGGACACTGTCCCCTCGTGCCCCCGGGAGCACACACAGCCCCCCGGGGCCCGACTGCGGAGCAGGGACCCACAGCCCCCGGGGCGCGGGCGGTTCGGGCGTGGGCCTGCCGTCCCAGGGCCGGTCAGACCTCACTCAGCGCCGTGAGACGTGGCACTTCTGGCTCCGTGTCCGACTTATTTTCTTCGGATAAGATCCACGGCAGCTACTGTTTTTCTTTCTTTTTTTTTTTAATGCCTTTTTGTCGTTTTACTGTTGGGTCGTATCTAAGTAGTTAGTGCCCCATTCCGTGCAAGAGTGGCGCCTCCTGCCCTGTCTGCTGGTCACCTTGCTCAGAGCTCCGTGTCCCTCTGTCTCTCTGCTCCCGGCGGAAGAGCTCCTGCGGCATTTCCTGGGGTGCGGGCCTGGCGGGGCTGGACTCCCTTGGTTTCTGGGGGCTGTGAGGTTATTGGCCGACGTCACCCCAACAACGTTAACCGAGAAAGGCCCACGGCTGTGGCTGGGTACTCCGTGGGCTGGAGCGTTGTCCTGTGCACCGAAAGTTGCAGGTTCGATCCCTGGTCGGGGCTCATTCGGGAGGCCACCGCTCGGTGCTTCTTTCTCACATCGATGTCTCCGTCTCTCTCTCTCTGTCTCTCTCTTCCCCTTCCTTTCTCTCCGAAGCATGGTCTTGGGGGAGGATTTAAAAAACAGACAAAAAACAACCCAAAGATCTCCAGTTGTCGGCCTTACCAAGGAGGGAGGGCGAGCACCCCAAGAACAAACTGGACCAACCTGCCGAGAGCGTTCCCTGCCCCCCCATCCCCCCAGCCTCCGTGGGCCCCACTGCCGGCCGAGAGCAGCGCCGTGCATCCCTCCAGCGCTCTGCCTGCTCTGAAGGCGCGTCACCCGCCGCCTTCCTGGGACCGGTGCCCTGACGGAAGGGGACTGTTCCCCCATCTTAGGTCGGAGACGCGAAGGCACAGAAGGTCCCTGCGAACGACACGGCAGAGCCACACGGCCACCGGCTCAGAGCCCGGGTTTGAGCCCCCAGCCTCCGCCTGCTGGCCGGGGGGCGTCCCGGCCAGTTAGTCAGTGTCCCCAAGCGCCACGTCTGTCCTCCGAGGTGCAGGACAGTGACCGCTGACCCGCGGGGGCGCCATGGCAGATGGCACCCGGAGAGCCCCCTGCAGCGCCCGGCACGTATCGAGGGGTCTGGGGACCAGGTCGAGGCCGCAGACGAGCACCTGCCCGCGAGGTCAAAGCCGGCTGACCTGTCAGGACTCATTCGTGACGCGCGGTGCCGTGGGGACACGTAGGGTAACCTTCATAAACGCCGACAGAAGACAGAGTCAGTGCAAGATGATTCTAGAATCTTCTTCTTGATCACCGCCGGGGCAACGCACCCCGAAGACAGACAGGCGAGGGTCTCTGGAGGCCGCAGCTGCTCGGCCGCTCGTGTGACATTGCCGAGGACCGTCCCCCCACCCCCTGCCGCCCTCCCCGACGGTGGTGCACGAGGCTGCCTTTGCTGCAACAGCGCACCGCTCTGTCAGGGGCTGTTCCCCCACAGCCGGCGAGGTGGCCCCCACGGACGAGGCGGGGTGAGGGTCTGTGACCTCCACGGCGCGAGGGGACGAAGACCTGGCGTTGCTGGTGGCGTCGGGCGTCTGTGGAGGGGACGGCGGGGCGTTCGTTCACCCAGGTGGTCTGCCCACGCCGCTCCCGGGCTCTCCCACTGTCCCCGTCTCCTCTCGGGTTCACGGCGAACCGTCACGCTGGCTGGACGGCTCCCTCGGGGACGTGCGTCCGGTGACGGGCCAGCGCCATGTTCTGGAGGTCAGGGCTCCCGTCTTCTGTGGAGACTCACGCCTGGCACACGCTCGGCGACCGCCAGCTCCTTCTCGGGTTTCTCGGGTCCACTGGCGGTTTCCACGCCGAGCCCCGCGGCAGACGCCAGCCCGGCGCTCACCGTCCTCCGTCTCCCGGCTGAGAAGGTCGGTCTGAGGGCTCCAGCTGAACGCACGCAGAACCGTCTTTGTTGATTCGACCTTGTTGTGGTTGAGGCAAAGCAATGTGTTTTTATGTTATGTTTAGTTTTTTTTAATTCATTGATTTTAGAGAAGGAGAGAGCGGAGGGGAGGGGAGAAAGGGAGAGAAACTGACTTGTTCCGCTCACTGATGCACCGCTGGTTGGTTCTTGCTCGTGCCCTGACCGGGCATTGAACCCGCAACCCTGGCGTATCGGCCGGGGCCCGGTGTTTAGAGCCCGTGTCGGGGCTCTGTGTCTCTCTGTGACCGGGGACCCCGAAGACAGCGGCGTGGTCGCGACTGCCGTGCTGTCCGGGGAGGAGGCTGCTCGCGCTCCCTCCCTCAGTGACGAGCCAGCAGGTGCTTTTGCTGCAGCCTTTTGGAAACTCTTGGCTTGAACAATAAAGATCGTCAAGCACTGAAGAAAACAGAAGCGACAGGCCTCCGTTCAGCGTCTCCTTGGACCAGGACAGGCTGCACTTGGGCGACTGGGCAACTGAGGCCGGGACCCAGGATGCCCTGAGATGGTGGGAGCAGGGATGCCCGCTCCTCCGCCCCGTCCCGCTGTGTCCTCGTCCTCGGTGCAGGGGGGTCCGGGGGCCGCGGGGACGATCTCCACGCACCAGGCAGCTCAAGCAGCACGGGTGTGCGTGGCTGGTGCTGTGGCCCTGCATCTGAGGCACATGCTGCCCGGGTGCCGGGGTGCAGGGGGTGTGGGGGGCTGCTCCCTCCCGGGGGCTGGTCCTGGCTTCTCCGGCTCCACGGCCCCTCCTCCGCCTTCCTCGACCAGTCAGCCCCCACCCTGCGTCTCCCTCCGTCTCACCCATATCGCAGCGCGTCTCGGGTGTGTCACGAAGGCCCACGGAGGCGGTGTCCCAGTGGCGGGAGGACGCAGGTTTGGTGCCCAACGTCCTGGCCTGGTGTCCAGTGGAGGGGGACCCGGGGGCCGCGGTGACCCCGGGCCACGTGGGAGAAGGCCGTGCGCGGGGCGGGACGGGCTCAGTCCTGGCCTCCGCCTGGCTCTCATGCGGCCGGCTACAGGGAGCCCTCGCGAACCCCTGCGCCTGCGCCCGGGGAGAAAGCGTCTCTTCTTCTGGGCTCGGGCTCTGGTCAGAGGGGACGTCTGGGCACCTGGGGGCCTCGTCCCCGGTGGCCCCGGCCTGTGGGCCCCTGGGTGGCCCGGCAGGCGGAACCCGGTGCCCAGCACGGCCGCCGAGCACGTGGACAGGATCGCGGTGGCTGGCTGCGTTCCGGCTCCCACCCCGGGGTGGGGGGGTGGGGGTTGGCGAGGAGAGGCTTTGCCCTCACTGTTCACCACATGGGACTGACTCCCAGGCAGACACCCCGACCCACGACCCCCGAGACGGTTAGTTCGAGCTCCCTGAGGGTCTGTTTGCCCCAAACGGCCTCCTCTTGCCCCTCCCCCCGACCCGGGTCTCTTTGGGGACAGAGGGTGCTGGGGTCATTGGGTGTCTCGGTCAGTAGTCCTTAGCACACAGTAGGTGCTTAGTGAATAACTGTTAGTTGGTTGATTGGACTTTATTTTTCTTTTTGCTTTTCCTCGGGCAGCGATTCCGGCCGGATAGCCGGTGGGCAGTGGCACCGGCTGGAGTAGCTGCGAGGCTGGAGGTCGCCGCCGCAGCTGCCGCCACTCACCTGCGCCTGCCGCCTGCCCGCACCCCGCTCACCCCCTGGGGCCCTCACTGTGGGGGTCACAGGGGCAGCAGGGTGCCCCTGGGACCCTGGGACGGGGTGTGCCTGCCCCTCCCCCCCGCCCCCCCAACCCCCCGCCGGCACCCCGCGGGTACGCACAGGCCAGCACGGCCGGGCAGCGGTTCTTGGGCGCGTTCTCCTCCCTCTGGGCCACGAGCGAGCTGCTGGGCTCCGCCTGGTAGGCGCACAGCGCCTCCCACTCCTTCTGCAGCCGGTTCTTGTTCTTCAGGTGGTCCTCCATGTAGGCCTGCGCGGGCGGGGGAGGGGCACAGCGTCAGGCCGCGCAAGGGGGGGGGGCGCGTGGGGCCGCTCCTGCCCCCGGGTGCCAGGCGGTGGTGGGGTCCTGCCGCCACCTCCCGCGACGTGACTGGGGGGAGGGCCGTGCACGGGGGAGGCCAGACCGCACTGACCAACAGGGCCCGGACAGAGGCTGTGTCCGCCAGGGGAGGCTGGTGGGCCGGAAGGCTGCAGGGTCCAGGGTTTACGCGGTCGGGCGCGGGGGCAGCCGTGTCCGAGAGGGGCCCCCAGGGGCGAGGGGCGCAGGCTCTGGGCGTCAGGTGGGGTGTTGGGAGCTTGGGAGCGGGGTCTGGGCTTGGCAGCGCAGGAGAACGCCGCTCTGTGTCGGGGGAGGGGTGGGCGCGTCACAGACCACGTCCGCTGTCCCTCGGGGGGAGGGGGGATGGAAGGGTGGAGGAAGGAGGCTGAACCACATGCCCCTCCCCTCCCCCCGGGACAGCCCCGCTGTACATGGCGTCTGGCTGATGAGCCGCTCGCTCAGAGAACCGCCCCGTGGCCAACGGGTTCTGTGTCGCAGTAGCTGTCTGAAGTCCCCCCGCCGGAACCGAACACCACGCTGCCGGGAACCGTTTCGTGACGACTGATTCAGGGAGCCCCTCCGGGAGGAGTGGGGGTCAGGCCCTCCCGAGACCATCCAGGATGCGGCCGATGGCACCAAGGGGGTGCCTGGTGGGGCCAGGGGAGGGACCCCGCAGCCGAGGAGGGCGGGCCACCCTGTCACCCTGTGCAGGGAGACGACCTTGTTTCCTCGGGGGCGTGCGCAGTGATGGGGCGTGAAGGCAACCGGGTGCCCCAGCCCTGACCTCCACGTCCACGTCTCCCCAGGAGCAGGTGGGCGTTTGTGTGTCACGGATTTCCATCCTGGGGCCGGGAGCGTGGACCTGTCCCTGGGTGGAGGCCCACCGGGTGTGGTGCACCTAAGGCTCGGGGCCGCACCGACGTGTGTGGAACCCTCAACAGCTGCTGGGGCCAGCAGCACGGGAAGGCGAAGCCAGCCACACCGAGCCCTTCGACCCTCCTGCCCTGCCGAGGTCGTACTTCCCTGGGCTCTCAAGGACCCCCCTCCCCGACCCTCCCCCAGCCCTGCAGCCGGGGGTCAGCAGAGCGCGGGTCAGCGTGTGACACCCCGGCTTCGCCTCGGCCCGTGTGCGGCCTGCTCACGGCCCCTTCCTGGCTCCTCCACGCCGCAACCCGACCGGCATTTGCGGTGCAAAACGTCACCTACTGTGGGCACCGCCGGGGGAGCCCAGATGAGCCCTGGCCTTTGTCCCGACTGCAGGTTACTAGCCTCCGACTCCCCGTACCTGTAAGCCCTCCCCCCACCTCCCCCCCTTCCGGACCTGCCCTCCCCCTCTCCCGTCATCGCCGCCTGCCTGCTCACTCGGACCCTCCCGCGATGGGTCTGTGCGGACCTCCAGGTCGGTGCCCACGCGTCTCCTCCTCCCGAGTCCGACGGGGACCTGCCCTGGACCCCCGCCCCCCCCCTTAGCGTGCACTCTGGGCGCACGGAGACTGCTGTTGGATGGTGGCTCGTAACCTGGAAATACCCATCAGTAACTTGAACCACAGATTTAAAAAAAATCTTATGTTTGGGATGGGCATCCAAGCCAATGGGCCTACGAATCTTCTGAAACTGGGGGGATTGTCCAGGAACGCGGCCCGGGACTGTGGAGTGTCCCATCTTGGCCTTGATGTCGGTGGCTTCCTTCCTGGGGAGTGGCCCCTCGACGGCTCACGCCAAGGGGGAGGCGCCACATTCTTGCTCAGGTGGTGAATTCAGAGGTCAGCGATGTTCCGCCGGCTCCCGTCCCCAGCGTCCTGCTTCCCCGAGTCTGGCCTCCCTCAGAGTCAGGCCGGTGCGGTCGGCCCCAGACTCAGGACGAGCGAGCTCCTGGACACTTGCTCGGTGCCTCTCACGGGGACACACGACGTCAGGGTGTCACTGTGCAAGGAGACGGGCGTCCCAGACCCCGGCTTCCCAGCGGGCTGCGGGCTCCCGGGGCTCAGGGACCCGTCTGACACAGGCGTGTGTGGCTCCCCACAGCCCCGTCCTGGGCTCTGGGCTGGAGCTTTAAGTCTGGGGTCGCCAGGGGTCACCAGTGCTGGGAACAGCCTCGGCCAGTGCGGGAGTGTCCCGCCCCTCCACGGCCCCACCCCCGCACCCAGGACACGCAGACCCCGCAGCGTCGGTGCTGGGAGGGGGTCAGGCGTCCGGATGCACAGCGCTCAGATGAATCCACTTGGACGCCTCGGCGGGCCTGGAGGGGCACCGGGGGGCCTGCCTACCACCGCTCAGGGCTGCTCTCTGCACTCTCGGGTGTGGGGTGACGGGAGAGACCCTGCAAGGTGTCCTGTCTCGGGGGGTGTTGGGGGGGGCCAGGCACCTTTTCAGAGAGGCCGGCAGGGAAGCTTTATTCTCGCCGACTCTGGGTGAGTCCTCGTGGGAGGGCTCTGACCTTGAACTCTGATTCTTTCCAAGGGCCTAGAGTCAACACGCTCGCAGAAGACACGGCCCCCGCCCCCACTGTCCCTGGGGAAAGGCCCGCAGGGGGTGGAACGTGGGGGGGGTCTCCGAGTCAGGAGCCCACACGCTGTTACCCTCCGAGCCCGCGGCGTTCGCTGTCACGACATGCTCGGCGCACCTGCGTGTCTTTGACTTTTTGCCGTTGTTCGAGATGTTAGCCTGGTCCAACGACTTTGTCCTTCCAGCCCCCGCGTCCCACCTTCTCTTCCGGTCCACCCGGCCCGACCCTGTGGGTGGGAGAACCAGGGACCGCCTGGTGTTCGGAACACGGTCTCCGTGTGTCGGGCGCCTGCACTTGACAGCGTCGCCGCACCCAGGACCCTACCTGGACTTCTGGGGCAGGAGTGTCACTGCCCTTGTGCAGTGGACGCTGTGAGACGGACACTGTGCGATGAATGTTGTGCGATGGACGGTGTGAGACGGATGTTGTGGGATGGACATGCGCCCACCGTGTGCTGCTTCGGCCTAAGTGTTTCCTGTGCTGTTTCCTGGTCCGACTGTCAGCCCCTGAGGCCAGGAAAGCGGTTTCCAGGACAACAGAGCTTTTGGGGTGCTCTGGCTCATTCCGGGGTTTGCTGAGAACCACAGAGCACAGCGCGTGTTCAGGATAAGACTGCCGCCCTCCACGAAGCCCTCACGGTGCCCGAGCGCTTTCCCGGGCAGGAAGGAACTCTGACACCCAGAGAAGGAACAGGGACTTGACTCTGAAGGACTCACAGAGACACACACGGAGGCTCGGCCCCCACACGGCGACTTCTCTGCTTTGGGGCCAACCGTCCCTCTCTCTCGACCCTTCAGTCACTGAGTCACCAAGTGGGACTCACGCGTGTCCATGAGGCTGGTTGGCTGAGTTACTAACACAGCGCGTCCAGTCTCCGAGCTGTGAAGTTACACAACGGAGCAGATGGTGGTGGTGGCGGGTCTCAGCTTCTAAAAAATTTTTTAATTTTTATTAATCATCACCCCAAAAATATTTTAAATTGATTTAGAGAGAGAGAGAGAAGCATCAGTTGCCTCCCACTCATGCCCCACCGGGGGATCGAACCTGCAACCTTCTGGTGCAGGGGACGACGCTCCCAGCAGATGAGCCCCCAGCCAGGGTGCAGGCCTCAGCTTTTCCCAGACAAAGGGAGGGTCTTCTAAATTCTCCCCCACGTCCTGGGAGCCTGCAGTGCTGGGGACCTTCACCTTCAGCCAGGAAGTGTGGCACACTGCGGCCCCCCCAAGGCCAGCCGCCCCTGCAGCGCGGACGCAGAATTCAGGGGGCGAGGACAGGAGAGCCCCGGAGATGGCGGGGCCTTCGTCAGAAGCATAATGACAGGCAGGGCATTTGGACGAGGCGTCCGAGTCACATCCCGTCGGCGGGGACGCTGGTCTCCTCACGACTCTGTCCCCCCTGGTGCAGGGGAAGCTGGAGCTCGTCCCGTTGTCCTGCCGAGCCGGCACCCCGCACCGAGGACCGGGGCGGTTCCGGGACGTTGCCACGCCTCCCACTGGTTTCTTTGGTTTATTACTGTTTGGAGAGGGAGGTATTTCGGGCCAGCCTTGTGACGAGGCGTCGCTACCGCCGTGAAAGCAAGCTGGGGATTAACGCAGGTGATCTCTAGCGCGGACAGAGCTTCTGCCTCAGCCCCAAGGTCACATCGCCACCTGAGATTGGGTCACGGGCACCGCGTCCTGGTCATGACACCGAAGGTCAGCCTCCAGGGCCACTGAGGAACAGCCCCACTTGTTAATCCTGCACCTGGGCACCCTCCGGAGTGAGCGGGCGGTGCTGCAGCCCCATCTCTGCACGCTGGGGTGCTGGGCTCCGCACACGTGGGAGGGCCGTCCAGCCCGCGGTGCTGGGGTGCCCTTACAGGTCCCAGCTGCCAACGGTGCTCACAAATCCACGCGGAGTAGCCGGCCAGAGCCGGGGTGCACAGCACGATCTTAGCCCCATTAAAAGTCACCGAGGTCCTGGCCGGTTCTCAGCGGGTTGGAGCGCTGTTCTGATGTGCTAGGGTTTCCGGTTCCATCCCTGGTCAGGGCACATGCAAGAATCAGCCAATGATGGGTCAATAAGTGGAACAACAAAATGTTGTTTCTCTCTGTCTCTCTCTCAAATCAATCAATAAAAGTCATAGAAATTATGTACTAATGTAGCATCTCTTGCCCTTAGCAGCGGCGGGCTGAGATGGTGGGTTCATTGTTATTGAAGAGAAGAACAACCTCGACTCCCAACTAGTGCCAGCGCTCAGAGGGACGGCAGCCACGTCAACACCCGCCAAGCAGGACCCACTCAGTCTCGTCACGTGGGTCCCTGCGTGCGAAGCGCTCACACCGGTGCAAAGCAGGGTGTTCGCCGTCTCTGGGGACGCTGGCGCTTCGTGGGTCTTCTGGTGTGAAACAAGCGGAAACTCTGCCCGTACAGCTTCCTTTCACGA